AGACAATATAAGAATTAAAAATCACAATATTTAAAATAATCCTGCCTGTTCAAGGCAATTTAAAAGGCCAGGCCAAGGCTAGTGCAATTCGTAGAGGGCCCAGGAAATTAAGTGCAATACTATAACAGGCAGCAACAATAATAGGTAAAGTCTATGGCTGTTCATTTCTGGGGCCTAATAGGAGGAAGTAACCTGGGTAATTGGTACAAAAAGATATGGCCATATTCAACAGTATCTGGGGCTGAGCTAGAACTAGTTGTTCTCAAAGGCTTGCTTAAACTACCAGGTCTTCAGGCTCTTATGAACGGAGGGGAGGGATGGGGCCTGTCTTATTTCTCTAAGAAGGGTGTTCCAGAGGTGGGGGGCCACCACCGAGAAGGCCCTCTCTCTCATCCCCACCAACCGTGCTTGTGACAGTTGTGGGAGCAAAAGGAGGGCCACCCCGGAAGATCTTAAAGTTCATGCCAGTTCCTCCTCCTCCTCCTCCTCCTCCTCCTCCTCTTTATACCCTGCTTTATCTCTCCTGAAGGGGACTGAAAGAGGCTTAACATAAAAACATTAGTACACACTTATACAAACATTAAAACAGAATTTAAAATAAACCGTATTAAAAATTCACAGTTATAAACCATTCAACATATTCAGTGCATATTCAAGTTCAAGTTCAGGCTTACTGTTTAACACACCCTGACCATTTTTTGACTGGTGGAGAGTTGAGAGGAAATCAGAGAAGCATATAGCTATGTCCCTGTAGACCAGCATCGGGTGTAATGGATTGAACTTTGGATGAAGACACTGAAAGATCAGAGTTTAAAAACTCACTCGGCCAAGGAAGCCTGTACTAGGCACACACTGTCACTTTCTAAGGAGGCCAAGGAAAAACACTTTCTGAAAAATTTGGCCAGGAAAACCCTTTGATCGGTTTGCCTTAGTCACCATAAGCCACAAAAAACTTGAAGGCACACAACGACAACAATATGTTCTGGTAGCCAAGCACAGAATGACTATATTATTCACTCTGGGCCCTTCCAGACAGGCCCTATATGCCAGGATCTGATCCCAGTTTTCTGTTTATCCAAGATTATCTGGTCGTGCGGACTCATATAATCCAGTTTAAAGCAGAAAGCCTGGGATCAGATCATGGGATATAGGGTCTGTATGGAAGGGCCTGTATGGAAGGGTATGGAAGGGCCCTCAGACTTCTAGAAATCCAAAGTAGATATCAGCAAATGAAGAAACAATTTTACATCTGACTACAGGTACATTGCTCTATGCCTTACTCTCCACTCATGTGGGGCGACTGCAATAGCTCAGCAGCAACTGAAGAATATTGAGTAGACAGCAATAGAGTACCTTAGTTCTGCATGTATGTTCTATTACACTATACTGTGCCATGCAAGATCTTGTTGTATTCCTGTGCTGTAAAGTGAGATTCCAGTTTTAATCCAGAACACAACTGATTTTTACTCCAGGTTGCCAGTATCATAAATCTGCAAGTCACTGCAAAGTTAATAAAGATGTTCTAAAGCAGTTATTTCTTTCTTTCTGAAGAGTATCTAGATCAGTGTTTCTCAACCTGGGGGTCGGGACCCCTGGAGGGGTCGTGAGGGATGTCAGAGGGGTCGCCAAAGACCACCAGAAAACACAGTATTTTCTGTTGGTTATGGGGGTTCTATGTGGGAAGTTTGGCCCAATTCTAACCTTGGTGGGGTTCAGAATGTTCTTTGACTGTAGGTAAATGATAAATCCCAGCAATTACAACTCCCAAATGTCAAGTCTATTTTCCCTAAACTCCACCAGAGTCCACATTTGGACATACTGATTTTCATGCCAAGTTTGATCCAGATTCATCATTGTTTTGAGTCTACTGTGGGTGAACTACAATTCCAAAACTCAAGGTCTATGTTCCCCAAGCCTCTCCAGTATTTTCTGTTGGTCATGGGAGTTCTGTGTGCCAAGTTTGATTCAGTTTTATCATTGGTGGAGTTCAGAATGCTCTTTGATTATAGGTGAACTATAAATCCCAGCAACTACAACTCCCAAATGATGGAATCAATCCCCCCCAAATCCCACCAGTATTTGAATTTGGGTGTATCGGGTCTTTGTGCCAAATTTGTTCCAAAGGATATACATCCTGCATATCAGATATTTACATTATGATTAATGTTGTTGTTGTTCATTCGTTCAGTCGTCTCCGACTCTTCGTGACCTCATGGACCAGCCTATGCCAGAGCTCCCTGTCGGCCGTTACCACCCCCAGCTCCCTCAAGGTCAGTCCAGTCACTTCAAGGATCCATCCATCCATCTTGCCCTTGGTCGGCCCCTCTTCCTTTTGCCTTCCACTTTCCCCAGCATAATTGTCTTCTCTAGGCTTTCCTGTCTCCTCATGATGTGGCCAAAGTACTTCAACTTTGTCTCTAGTATCTTTCCCTCCAGTTAGCAGTCGGGCTTTATTTCCTGGAGGATGGACTGGTTGGATCTTCTCGCAGTCCAAGGCACTCTCAGCACTTTCCTCCAACACCACAGCTCAAAAGCATCGATCTTCCTTCGCTCAGCCTTCCCTAAGGTCCAGCTCTCACATCCGTAGGTGACTATGGGGAATCCATGGCTTTGACTATGCTCATCTTTGTTGCCAGTGTGATGTCTCTACTCTTCACTATTTTATCGAGACTGGACATTGCTCTCCTCCCAAGAAGTAAGCGTCTTCTGATTTCCTGGCTACAGTCTGCATCTGCAGTAATCTTTGCACCTAGAAATACAAAGTCTGTCACGGCCTCCACAGTTTCTCCCTCTATTTTCCAGTTGTCAATCATTCTTGTTGCCATAATCTTGGTTTTTTTGATGTTTAGCTGCAACCCGGCTTTTGCGCTTTCTTCTTTCACCTTGATTAGAAGGCTCCTCAGCTCCTCCTCGCTTTCGGCCATCAGAGCGGTGTCAGAGTTATGATTAATAACAGTAGCAAAATTATAGTTGTGAAGTAGTAATGAAAATAATTTTATGGTTGGGGGTCACCACAACATAAGGAACTGTTTTAAGGGGTCACAGCATTAGGAAGGTTGAGAACCAGTGATCTAGATGTTCCCCCAACCCACTCCCAATATTTATTTATAAGCACTTCCATTTTTTGGGGCGGAAATCCCTGTGCTTAGTCAGTATTCTTGGCATCATTTATGCTCCGAATGGGACAAAAACAAAATTTATAGTATTAAAAACATGGATGATAAATTAATAAAGAAAAGAGTAAGAGAAAAAAAGAAGAAAGAAAAAATATACACAGAAGAACAAACATAAACCCCATATCATACAAAGACATCCACTAAGACAGAATTCACACCAAGTGAATTTAAAAGACTCCCACTCTTCTCTGTCATGATACTCTACATATACACTTAATCCTTTCTTCCAAGTTTTTCCTATTTCTAATTGCGAGCGTCAGTAGTTTTCTATTTCTTTCCTTTTAACTTCTGTTCTTCTGTTCTTTTCTTCTTCTTTTATCTACATTCCCCCTTTCTTACTTCTTCTGATTTTTCCTTCATTTTTTAATATTGTATTTCTGAAAACTTAATAAAAACTATTTTAAACAAAAAACAAAATTTATAGAAACATTAAGCACAAAAATAATACAAGAAGAATATGACGACTTAATCATTATGGGTGACTTTAACGGGGTATTGGATAGCTCACTATTTAAGTCAAAGGAAAACAAGAAAACAAAAGAACACCATACGGGAGAACTTCTAAGAGACTTTACATTACTGAAGGAGGATTTTGGACTATTATTTATTTATTTATGTATTTAATATATTTGTATACTGCCATTCTCAGCCCGAGGGTGACTCAGGGCAGTTTACAAAATGGCACAATTCGATGCCCACAATAATAATATAAAAATAGTTGAAACATTCAACATAAATAGAATTCCATCTATATAAATAAAAGTGTAATGTTCGTTTGTGGGATTAACATAACTCAAAAACCACTGGGCGAACTGACACCAAATTTGGACACAATACACCTATCAGGCCAATGAGTGATCATCACTCATAAAACACTGTAAAACACAGCAGAAGGGACTTAAAAAGCCAAAAAACAAAAAATACATTACAACGCAAGTGCAAAACCACATATATACACAAACACACATACACACACACAAAACACATATACACAGACTGGGCCACAGGAACGCGTGGCGGGGGACGGCTAGTAAGTAAAAAAACCAATAGAAACATAGATCCTCCGCATCTCATTCCCAAAATAATTGTCCAATCGCATTGTCTAGTCGATATTTGGAGGCATTTCCATAAGGACGAAAAGGATTACACATTTTTCTCAAGTTGCCATAATTCATGGTCTTGAATAGACATGATATGGGGAACAAAAGAAATCGTCACAAAGGTAACCAAGTCAAAAATCCTCACGAGAATCAATTCAAACCATGCCCCGTTAGAGATAACACTTGAAAACACAAATAACAGCTTGAGCAATGCTTTCTAAATGTAATAAACCTCCTTGTAGTGAGAGATAGGTCTTTGGTTCATTGCATTTTCCCATGACTGTTATGATATGGAGAGAGGGCGAGGTAAATCCTTGTAAGATTGCGTGGTTTGTATAGTTCGTAGCATTTATCTTTTCTTGGCACGGCTATGGTCAACTTTAGTTTCTCAAAGTATGGCCTTGTCCCTTTTACAGACACACACAAAACCCTAGTGACTCTGTGGAACATAGCTCCAGTTTCCCCAAATGCCTTGACATTTATAACCTCAAACTCTCTCTCCCCTTTTCCTCATTGAATGGAAAGCAGATTCCCGGTTGGGAACGCCCTAACAAATTAGTTGAATATAAATTTCTTTCCTGGACTGTATAACTGCAGGTCATCCATTTAGTGCTGAAATGGCCTATTAAAGTTTAATAAGGTTTATTGGCTCTGCGGTCACAAGTGCCAGAAGTGCAGATGATTTCCTTTTCCTTTCCACTCAGATTTTACATTTCTTTTTCAGATTAATGAGTTGAGTAATGTCCCCGTCCCTGTTATGTTGATGCCTGATGACTTTAAGGCCTACAGCAAGATTAAGGTGGACAATCATCTTTTCAACAAGTAAGTAATCAATTTAATATCAGATTTAGAGCATGTCTCCCCATTCCTAGTTGCAATATCTGTCTGCAGATAGCTGGTTTTGCATGCACGTTGAGATTTGGGTCATTTTTTTTCATGATGTGGAAGTGAAATAAAGCACGAAGTATGTCCTGTGGAAGATCCAGCTTAACATGCAGTTTTCTGCATACCTCCTCATGTACTTTAAACCCCCACAGGAATATAATATTGATGTATATTATATTTCTCAGCCTTCGGGCTGAGAAAGGTGGTATATAAATATGGCAAATAAATAAATAAATAAATAACATATAATATAGATATGCAAAAGAAAGAAAGAAAGAGGAAGAGGGCCCGACCAAGGGCAAGATGGATGGATAGTATCCTTGTAGTGACTGGTTTGACCTTGAAGGAGCTGGGGGTGGTGATGACCGACAGGGAGCTCTGGCGTTGGCTGGTCCATTAGGTCATGAAGAGTCGGAAACAACTGAACAAATGAACAACAACAACAACATGCACCAGGGATTAGTATTGCTAGTATTTTGGTCCAACTACATTGGTTGCTTATAGAATCATAGAATTAGAAGGAGACCCCAAGGACCATCCATTCCAACCCTCTGTCATACAGGCTGTGCAGAAGTCATTGTTATTATGTTTGCGTTTAACTGTTAGAGTATGTATTTGTGGTTGTAACAGTAGCTAAAACTGGAGTCATCTGGTTTGAATCCACAGTGAGCGTTGCCAAGGAGACGAGGCTGGCTAGCTCATGAGAGGGAGAAGTGGGCGGAGCCAAGCAGGAAAAGTTATGTGCGTTTTTAAAAAAGCAGCAGAGAGAGGCTTGGAAAGGCCTGAGAGAGAGGCTTGTGTGTGAGCGGCTGGTGTTTTTTCAGTCTAGGAGGGCTGAAGAAAGAAACCTGGCCAGATTCTTTAGTCAAAGAAGACTAAGGGAAGCCTAGTTAAGATCCCTGGTTAAGGAAGGACTAGAGATCAGAGATTTGATCAAGGGAAGATTGAATTGAAAGGCTATTTATAGTAGTGAAACATTGTTCACTAGAGAGCTTCACCTCAGTGAAAGTTAGCCACAAGCTGTGTTATCTGGAAGAGTGGACTGTATTATAAACCACGTGATATTCAAAGTTCCATAAGTTATTTAACAGCCTGCAACCATAAGCTTTGTATACAGTAAACTTGTTATCTTTTGTTGAAAACCGTCTCATCTCAACAAATCTGCGTCTGTAGAGCCAGATCTCATCGGTGGTACCTCAAATACCTCACGTTGGTGGCAGTTACCTTAATTTACAAATAATAATTGGCCTCCTCCATAATATACCCTTCTACACAATAGAGGCCTGAGGTAAATTCCCTCCATAACATCCACATCTGTACAATTGGTGGCAGCGGTGAGATTAAAAAGTGCCTGAGGTAAAATACCTCCATTATTAGGGCCTGCTGTTGCCAACCTCAGCAACATTGCCAACCTCGCAATTGGTGATAGCGGTGGGGATCTTCAAAGATAAAATCCCTATACCTTGTCCATCGTTGTGTTCACATCTTCCCACAGGCCTATTATGAAGCATATATGAAAGCACCATAAAGAATGCCTCTGTTCATATATAGGTCCTTGCTAGGGAGATACTGTTCTGTATCTCAAATTATGTAGATTGTAAAACTAAGAGGAAACAATTGCAGGTCCTCCTGTGATAGTGCCACCAGTTCCGGAGGAGGAGGAGGAGGAGGAGGAGGAGGAGGAGGAGGAGGAGGAGGAGGAAGAAGAAGAAGAAGAAGAAGAAGAAGAAGAAGAAGAAGAAGAAGAAGAAGAAGAAGAGTAAACTGCTTAAAGTGCAAAAGACAAAGAGTGAATACCGTCAAAACACAATCCAGAGCAGAAGAGAAAACTGGCAAAAGAAGGCTCTTCATGGACAGTTCCTGGGGAAAATTCAGAGCCAAATTGACAAAGAAAAAACATGGCTGTGGCTCACAAATGGAACTCTGAAAAGTAGATGGAGGGCCTGATTCTGGCAGCCGAAGAGCAAGCCATTAGAACCAGTGCCATCAAAGCCAGAATTGAAAAGTCGACCACAGATCCCAAGTGTAGACTCTGCAAGGAAGCAGATGAAACAATAGATCACATCCTCAGCTGCTGTAAGAAGATCGCGCAGACAGACTACAAGCAGAGGCATAACACCGTTGCTCAGATGATTCATTGGAACTTCTGCCATAAATACCATCTGCCTGCAACTAAGAACTCCATATGCTTATGTATTCCTTGCATACTTTGAAGTATGGCAGTTTCCCCTTGCTCTGGATCCATCCAACTACTTTTCACACTCCCAGACAGTTTAGCCATGCTGGCAGTGGATGATAGGAAGTCTAGTCTGAAATGTCCAGAGAATATCAAGTTGGCACTTTCCCGATCACCCAGCACAAGTGAGAATTTCTTCCAAGTGAACAGATGGACCAGCATGTTTCAGCTGTAAGAAAATTGCCTCTTTTTTCACTTATGTCATTTATGGACTATGGGCTAGCTAGCAAATTTATTTTCCCCTCTGATTTGGGAAGGCTGATAACCTCTGTGTATTTTGTCCTCCTTCCTGGAGGTTCCTTCTCTGGGGGCTTTTAAACAGAGGCTGGATAGCCATCTGTCGGGCATGCTTTGAATGCAATTTTCTTATTTCGTGGCAGGGCGTTGGACTGGATGGCCCTGGAGGTCTCTTCCAACTCTTGTTGTTGTTCATTCGTTCAGTCGTCTCCGACTCTTCGTGACCTCATGGACCAGCCCACGCCAGAGCTCCCTGTCAGCCGTTACCACCCCCAGCTCCCTCAAGGTCAGTCCAGTCACTTCAAGGATGCCATCCATCCATCTTGCCCTTGGTCGGCCCCTCTTCCTTTTGCCTTCCACTTTCCCCAGCATAATTGTCTTCTCTAGGCTTTCCTGTCTCCTCATGATGTGGCCAAAGTACTTCAACTTTGTCTCTAGTATCATTCCCTCCAGTGAGCAGTCGGGCTTTATTTCCTGGAGGATGGACTGGTTGGATCTTCTCGCAGTCCAAGGCACTCTCAGAACTTTCCTCCAACACCACAGCTCAAAAGCATCGATCTTCCTTCGCTCAGCCTTCCCTAAGGTCCAGCTCTCACATCCGTAGGTTACTACAGGGAATACCATGGCTTTGACTAGGCGGATCTTTGTTGCCAGTCTGATGTCTCTACTCTTTCCTATTTTATCGAGATTGGACATTGCTCTCCTCCCAAGAAGTAAGCGTCTTCTGATTTCCTGGCCACAGTCTGCATCTGCAGTAATCTTTGCACCTAGAAATACAAAGTCTGTCACGGCCTCCACGGTTTCTCCCTCTATTTTCCAGTTGTCAATCATTCTTGTTGCCATAATCTTGGTTTTTTTGACGTTTAGCTGCAACCCGGCTTTTGCGCTTTCTTCTTTCACCTTGATTAGAAGGCTCCTCAGCTCCTCCTCGCTTTCGGCCATCAGAGTGGTGTCATCTGCATATCTGATGTTGTTAATGTTTCTTCCAGCAATTTTCACCCCAGCTTTGCATTCATCCAGCCCCGCACATCGCATGATGTGTTCTGCATACAAGTTAAAAAGGTTGGGTGAAAGGATGCAGCCTTGCCGTACGCCTTTCCCAATCTTGAACCAGTCTGTTGTTCCGTGGTCAGTTCTGACTGTTGCTACTTGGTCCTTGTACAGATTCCTCAGGAGAGAGACAAGGTGGCTTGGGATGCCCATCCCACTAAGAACTTGCCACAATTTATTATGATCCACACAGTCAAAGGCTTTAGAATAGTCAATGAAGCAGAAGTAGATTTTTTCTGAAACTCCCTGCCTTTCTCCATTATCCAGCGGATATTGGCAATTTGGTCTCTCGTTCCTCTACCTTTTCTAAACCCAGCTTGAACATCTGGCAACTCTCGCTCCATGTATTGCTGGAGTCTTCCTTGCAGGATCTTGAGCATTACCTTACTGGCATGAGAAATAAGGGCCACTGTACGGAAGTTTGAGCAATCTTTCGCATTTCCCTTTTTTGGTATGGGGATATAAGTTGATTTTTTCCAGTCTGATGGCCATTCTTGTGTTTTCCATATTTGCTGGCAAATGGCATGCATCACCTTGACAGCATCATCTTTTAAGATTTTAAACAGTTCAGCTGGGATCCTGTCATCTCCTGCTGCCTTGTTGTTAGCAATGCTTCTTAAGGCCCATTCAACCTCACTCCTCAGGATGTCTGGTTCTAATTCATTCACCACACCGTCAAAACTATCCTCAATATTATTATCCTTCCTATACAGATCTTCTGTATAGTCTCGCCACCTTCTCTTGATCTCTTCAGCTTCTGTTAGGTCCCTGCCATCTTTGTTTCTTATGATACCAATTTTTGCCTGAAATTTACCTCCAATGTTTCTAATTTTCTGGAAGAGGTCTCTTGTCCTTCCTATTCTGTTGTCTTCTTCCACTTCCATGCATTGCTTATTTAAAAATAGTTCCTTATCTCTTCTGGCTAACCTCTGGAATTGCGCATTTAACTGGGCATCTCTCCCCTTTTCCCTGTTTCCTTTTGCTTTCCTCCTTTCTTGGGCTACTTCCGGTGTCTCAGCAGACAACCATTTTGCCTTCTTGGTTTTCTTTTTCTTTGGGACGTACTTTGTTGCCGCCTCCTGAACAATGTCTCGGACTTCTGTCCATAGTTCTTCTGGGACTCTGTTTACTAAATCTAGTCCTTCAAATCTGTTCTTCACTTCCACTGTATATTCGCTAGGAATGTTAGTGAGATCATATCTAACTGGTGTGTGTATTTTCCCTGATCTCTTTAGTTTTATTCTAAATTGGGCAATAAGAAGTTCGTGATCTGAGCTACAGTCAGCCCCAGGTCTTGTTTTCACTGACTAGATGGATGTCCGCCACCTTTGGCTGCAAAGGATGTAGTCAATCTAATTTCGGTGTTGACCGTCTGGTGAGGTCCATGTGTAAAGCCGTCTTTTAGGTTGTTGGAAGAGAGTATTCGTTATACACAGCGAGTTTTCCTGGCAAAATTCTATCAGCCTGCGTCCCGCTTCATTTTGTTTCTCCCAGACCATGCTTGCCTGTGATCCCAGTTGTCATTTGACTTCCCACCTTGGCATTCCAGTCTCCTGTAATGAAAATAATGTCTCTTTTTGGTGTATTATCCAGTAGGTCCTGCAGATCCTCATAGAACTGATCTACTTCTGCTTCTTCAGCAGCTGTGGTTGGGGCGTATATTTGGATCACTGTAATGCTGAAAGGCTTTCCTTGCACTCGAATTGAGATCATTCTGTCATTTTTTGGGTTGTATCCAAGCACCGCTTTAGCGAATTTCTTATTAATTATGAAGGCTACTCCATTTCTTCGCTGTTCCTCTTGTCCGCAGTAGTAGATCTGGTGGTCATCTGATGTGAAGTGGCCCATTCCAGTCCACTTCAGTTCGCTGACCCCCAGAATGTCTATCTTTAGTCTTGACATCTCGCCAATAACAACATCCAATTTGCCCTGGCTCATAGATCTTACATTCCAGGTTCCTATGGTGTGTTGATCTTTAGAGCATCGGATTCGTCGTTCACCTCCAGTACCGTCGGCCGCGAGCCTTCCTTTCGGCTTTGAGCTAGCTGCGTCATCACATCTGGGGCTAGTTGAACTTATCCTCTGCTCCTCCCCAGTAGCATTTTGGCCATCTTCCGACCTGGGAGTCCCATCTTCCAATGGCATACCGGCATATCTCTGGTTGTACTGGTCCATTTAGTTTTCTTGGCAAGGATACTGGAGTGGTTTGCCATTGCCTTCCCCAGGGATCACGCTTGGTCTGACCTCTCTGCCACAACCGTCCCGTCTTGGGTGTCCCTTCACGGTTTCGCTCATGACATCATTGAGGTGCTCAAGCTCCAGCGCCCCGACAAGACGGTGATCCTTTGCTGGAGCTTCCAAACTCTATTATTCTATTATTTCCCCCTCTTTCACTTGCCCATCAGCACCTTGGAAGCTTCTGCTTCCATTTAAATTAGAGCTTTGTTAATTTTGTATGCCATAATCTTGCCCATACATGGGAAAGATGATTTTTGCCATATTCCAACTTCACAGCCTACAGTGTAGACAGGCAGAGGTGGGTCGAGATTTGTATACATTGCAAACAGAATTGCTTATCTCTCTGGCTCAAAAGTAGCTGGCCAGCAATCTTTGCTTCCTTGTCTCTGGATGTCTATTATGCAACCAGATAACGTCTTTCTGGAGCCAGTGCTGTGTTTGAGTAACTGTGTTTTATTGATTTTTGAAAATTGATTGTCCAGTGTTGGCTACACCCTTCATTTTCTCCAGAGCTGCACTCAATGTTTGTTTTGAAACTTGCAGTTCATAGTGCTTTTGAGCCGCTTTTGTATATTGTGTTCGTGCTGATTCAGAATCCTATTGATGTTGCTGCGTTGCCTTTCAAGAACGTATTCTGTTTCAATCACTCTCTATTTTATTCCCTGAAAAGTGGAAAAAAACATAAATCTTTTTCTTACAAGAGAGAATATAGTTATCACTTCAGATTGAATGTGAAAGCTGGGGTTCAGGAAAGCCACAGACTGGTGGCTTTTCTCACCTGCTAATACTTGTGAGAGTAAGTGACATATCCAGAGGCAATGCTGAATGGTTCTCCAAAGAGTGGACAAATTGGTCACATAAGATTTTGAATCATAGACCATGGCCTACAATGTGAAGGGCTCCTTGTAGATAAAGGTTAAAAAGGTAAAGTTAAGTCCATTCGTGTCCGAATCTGGGGTGTAGTGCTCATCTCTATTTCTAAGCCGAAGAGCCGGCGTTGTCCATAGACACCTCTAAGGTCATGTGGCCAGCATGACTGCATGGAGCGTCGTTACCTTCCCGCCAGAGCGGTACCTATTGATCTACTCACATTTGCATGTTTTTGAACTGCTAGGTTGGCAGAAGCTGGGGCTGACAGCGGAAGCTTACATTGCTCCCCGGATTCGAACCTGCGACCTTTTGGTCAACAAGTTTAGCAGCTCAGTGCTTTAACCCACTGTGCCACCGGGGGCTCCTTGTAGATTTGTTGTTTTTCATTCGTTCGGTCGTCTCCAACTCTTTGTGACCTCATGGACCAGCTCACGCCAGAGCTCCCTGTCGGCCGTCACCACCCCCAGCTCCTTCAAGGTCAGTCCAGTCACTTCAAGGATGCCATCCATCCATCTTGCCCTTGGTTGGCCCCTCTTCCTTTTACCTTCTACTTTCCCCAGCATAATTGTCCTTGTAGATAGTGAATTGTAATAAATGAAATGGGATCCAACCACGTCTCCCTTGAGGGTTCCATAGACACCAAAAAAGGCTGTCTCCTCTGTCCTCCCAAAATGAGACTGGGAATATGGTTAGACTCCCTCCTCCAAATATCCTAAGATATGTGAGATCTCTTATGGAGGAGATGCAGGCTTCTACATAGTCTGGACCTAAACCATGTAGGGCTGTATACTGACTTGTCTGGAAATAGACTAGCACCAGATTAGCTGCTTCAGCAAATGAGTTTTTACATTGTATCTTGACTGCTTTTCTTGTCAATGATTGAGAAGCAAGAGAAGTGCTTTCCTTGGTTAGTCTATTTCTCTGAGTTTTTGAATTTGTTGTTGTTTGTTTCCTTAGAACAGTGTTTCTCAAACTGGGGTTCGAGACCCCTGGGGGGTCACGAGGGGATGTCAGACAGGTTGCTAATACACAGTATTTTCTGTTGGTCATGGGGGTCTGTCTTGGAAGTTTGACCCAATTCTATCGTTGGTAGGGTTCAGAATGCTCTTTGATTGTAGGTGAACTATAAATCCCAGAAAGTACAACTCTCAAATGTCAAGGTCTATTTTCCCCAAACTCCACCAGTGTTCACATTTGGGCATGTTGAGTATTCATGCCAAGTGTGGTCCAGATCAATCATTGTTTGAGTGCACAGTGTTCTCTGGATGTAGGTGAACTACAACTCCAAAACTCAAGATCAATACCCACCAAACCCTTCCAGTATTTTCTGTTGATCGTAGGAGTTCTGTGTGTCAAGTTTGGTTCAATTCCATCATTGGTGGAGTTCAGAATGCTCTATGATTTTAGATGAACTATAAATCCCAGCTACTACAACTCCCAAATAACAAAATCAATCACCCCCAACCCCACCAGTATTCAAATTTGGGTGTATCAGATATTTGTGCCAAATTTAGTCCAGGGAATGAAAATACATTCTGTATATGAGATATTTACATTATGATTCATAACAGTAGCAAAATTACAGTTATTAAGTAGCAAAAAAATACTTTTTTGGTTGGGGGAGTCACCACAACGTGAGGAACTGTATTAAGGGGTTAGGAAGGTTGAGAACCACTGCCTTAGAAGAGCAACTAGAAGTTTATATCCTTTATTTAACCCATCTAATATGATTTGCTTTGAATGCAATTTTCCTGCTACTTGGCAGGGTGTTGGACTGGATGTCCCATGAGGTCTCTTCCAACTCTATGATTCTATGATTTACTCCAGTATGACAATATAGATCACTATTGATAAACATGTATAAGTGTAAAATTTTCTAACATCACATTTCTGATTATTATAGTAACAAATCATAGCGGAAAACTATGTCAGTAAGTTTGCACACAACAAATACCAACAGCCAATCCCAGTACTCTGCTGTAAATGTTTATATAATGTCCATATTTTCTAACATATTTTTGTTTCATACAGGTCTTGGATAAGCATTTTTAAAGCTTACACATAAACCAACAGTAATGTATGATATGTCTTTTAATCTAGAATGTATTTAAAATCAAATTATATCTTAACATACTGAAGGACAACTTCTCTTCACCTCTTTCCAGAGAGAATCTGCCAAGTCGTTTCAAATTTAAGGAATACTGTCCACTGGTATTCCGAAATCTCCGGGAGAGGTTTGGGATTGACGACCAAGATTATCAGGTATGGATCAAAATTGTGGCAGTGGTATCTCAAAACAAAGAGCTGCACTGCGCTGGACCTATGGATGTATGTAATTGAAAGGGATTGCTCTTCATTGTGTGAGATCAATATGTGAGTTGTATTGTTGAAGGCTTTCATGGCTGGAATCACTGAGTTGTTGTAGGTTTTTTCGGGCTGTATGGCCATGTTCTAGAGGCATTCTCTCCTGACGTTTCACCTGCATCTATGGCAAGCATCCTCAGAGGTAGAAGAAAATCCATTCATCAGGATTCGTGGACTTAATGCGATCCTGATGGTGAGGTAAAGGGGTACCTCACCGGGAAGGTGTAAGCGAAGGGCGAAGGGCGAGGCAAGCTGCAGGCGTCCAGGGTGCCTGGGGTATGGAAAAAAGAAATAGAGTGGCTCTGGGCCCAGAAAAACACACCTCTTTTACCTGTCTGGCCCGCCCTTGTATCCTATTACCATACCTCCTCCTCTGCCTCTCAGTTCTCGCTCCTGAAGAGTGCAGTGAAGTGGTGTAGGTGCGCATGTGTGAGATCTGAGAGGCAGAGAAGGAGGTGCAGTAATAGGAAAATTATCATATTGAAATCAAATCTGATGCTTTTAAAAATTTTATTTGTGTGTGTTGGATGAGGGGTAGTCTTATACGGCAAATATATCCCAAACTCTATATTTTAACTGGAAAAGTTGGGGGTTGTCTTATACGCCCAGTCGCCTTGCAACGGTGTAGTAACAGTGAGGCTGTGGACCATATTTTAGTTCTTGCAGACCACTGGTGGTCCACGAACTACTGGTTGGGAACCACTGAGGTAGAGAGTATGGGGAGAGGTTCACAAATGCAGTCAAGAAGAATAGGAAAAGAAAGTCATTGCAGCATAAACATATGGGCTGTTAGCAGAGTCTTTCTTTATTATAAATTCATAGTGGAAAACATCAAAAGTAAGAAAACAAACATCTTGCATCAGATATCAGACCCTAAACAAAACATTTAGAGTCCCAAACTCCAAAACGCCATAGCTTCTCCAAAAGCTCAAGGCTATAGCAATAGCAGAACGCTGAGGGACGCTGAAAGCTGCTGAAGGCTGCTGCTGGCTGCAGGCAGATGCAACACATTATAACCACAGTAATTAGATCCACCTGCACCCAATTAACCAAAACCACATCACAAGCATTTCAGCAATTAAAGATACAAACTTACTTATACATACATAACCCAAATACATACAATGAACAGATAAAATTTTGCACATTTTTACAGTTCTCCTGACACTCCTCCACAAAATTATATCAGTTCATATTTATATAATTATAAATTCAGTCTTTCACAAAATTGGTTATGTTTATCACATGTAAGAGGCTTCGTCAAAATATCTGCAACATTTTCAACAGAAGACACATAGTTAAGAACAATTCTTTTGTTCTTTACAAATTGTTGCACGTTAGAATATCTAACATTGATATATCTAGATTTCGTTTTTAAATTTTGACTCTTACACAATGCGATGCAAGTTTGAGAATCTACATATACCTGTATTGGTAATTCCAAATCAATGTTCAAACTTTTAATCAAGGATTCAAGCCACTCTACTGATGTTAATGCATCAGACAATGCTGAGAATTCAGCTTCTCCTGTGCTTAAAGCAACTAAGTTCTGTTTTCTACTTTTCCAGCAAACTGGTGTATTTGCATATTTTATTATAAATCCTGTCACAGATTTATTTTCTTTTAGATTAGCGAATGAACTATCGCAATGGATTTCCAAAGACTGTTTGTTATTTGGGCAAATTCTGAATATTTTTTCAGCTGTTTGCTTTAAATATCTTAAAACTCTTTTTACTCCGGCCCAGTCTGTTTGTGAAGGATTTTGAATCCTTTGACTTAGGATACCAACAGAAAACGAAATGTCGGGCCTAGTATTGTTTGCAATATACAATAAAGAACCAAGAACTGAACGATAAATAAAATTGTTATCAAACACTTCTCCATCTACATGTTGTAAGAACTGAAGAGCCATAGGAGTATTAACAGTGTTTGCATTTTCCATTCTGGTTCTTTTCAAAAGATCATAAATCTTATCAGTTTGGTTTAATTCAAAACCAGTTTCATTTCTAGCAATATTTATGCCAAGATATCTATTAACATCTCCAAGATTTTTGATTTTCAATACTTTGCTTAAATTCTGAAAAACTTCCTCAATTTGTTCTTCAGATCCAATACATAACACATCATCCACATAAATTATAATAAACATTTGTGTATCTCCACTTCCTTTTGAGTACAAACAAGGATCAAAACTATTTGCAACAAAATTTAACTTTGTCAACACTTTGTCTAAATGTAAGTTCCAATTTCTTGCACTTTGTTTGAGACCATAAAGACTTTTTTTAAGAAGATAAGTCCCATCAGGAAGATCAGATTCAAAACCTGGAATAGCAGAAATATAAACTTTTTCCTCTAAATCTGCATGAAGGTATGCAGTATTCACATCAAAATGTTTGACTTTTAAATTTCTATTACTGGCAATTGCAAGGGTTATTTTTAGTGCTTCACCAGATACTGTGGGGCTAAATATCTCATTAAAATTTTCTCCATATATCTGTTCAAAACCTCTAGCAACTAATCTGGCTTTGTACAAATAACCACCATCCTTTGTTTGTTTACGTCTATACACCCAACGACAACTTAGAACTTTTGCATTATCAACTGTTTTAGATTTCTCCATAACTTGCAAATCTTTCAAAGAATCAAATTCACTTTGCATTGCTTTTAACCAAAGCTTTCTTTCAGTCTCTTCTCTATTCAACATCTCTTTATAACTTTGAGGTTCAGACCAGTCATGGTCTGTACTTTCACAACTTCACAATGATATCTCTTTGGAGGTATACCCTTAGTTATCCTAGAACTACGTCTAGGAATGGTCCTAGTACTATCTCCTCCATCAGTCTCATCAGTCTCTGAATTACTAGAGCTAGTACTTTGTGAACTAGAGGATTCAGCTTCAGCTTTTCTCTTCTGAGATTCTGTCCTTTTAATTACAGGACTACTGCTTTGTAACTGACTAGAAACAGATTCTTGCTTCACTTGCACTTGTGAACCAAAATGTGTATCATGAGATGTGCTTGGTTGTATATCTTGCTGTGCAGACTGTTGTGAAACTGATTGCACTTGTGTAGCAGGTTGCTGTGAAACTTGTTGTGTAGTTGGCTGTGTGGTTAGTGGTGTATGCATTTGAGTAGTGTTAAAAGGCAGAAACACTTCCTTATTTGAATGAATCCTATCCCAACCACTGTGTTGTTGAAACTTTACACTTTTAGAAACTAACACCCTATTATTACCACACCAAAATCTCCAACCTTTTGACTCAGAAGCAGGGCCTAGATATTTCAATTTCTTCCAAATAGAATCCTTTTTATGTCTTTGTTGAGAAGGAATTAAGACATATGAGTCACTTCCAAAAACTCTGATTGAACTCAAATCAGGAGTTTTCCCAAAAAACAATAAATAAGGAATACTATTGACACTTTTGCAAAAAGAACGATTGAGCACAAAAGTAGCATTTGCCACAGCTTCAGCCCACAATCCATCAGATAAATTAGCATCTCTTAACATTTTTCTAGCTACAATTTTTAGAACACCTATCCACCTTTCTGCAACCCCATTTTCACTAGGTGAGTAAGGATTTGTTAACCTGTGAACTATGCCAAACTTTTCAAGCAAATGTTTCATTTGTTTGGACATAAACTCTGCACCACGATCACTTTGAAAAGCCTGTACTGGATACTCAGGAAACTGTGTTTGCATTAGCTTCAGCCAAGCAGAAATTTTCTGAAAAACTTCACCTTTAGTTCTTAGAAAGAAGGTGAATTTCAACCTAGAAAAATCATCCACCAAAATCAAAAAATATTTTGACCCGCCTACAGAAGTAGGATGAGGACCAGATACATCAATATGTATAAGCTCTAAGATCCTTTTTGAAACTCTAGCACTGTATTTTGCTATAGGAGCTTTCTTAAGATTTTCTGCTGCACAAATTTCACAATCTAGAAAATTCTTACATCCTTGAATAGGAATTTTACACAACTCAGCTGTTTGTCTTAGATACTGCCATGACAAATGACCCATTTTCCTGTGAAATTCATGAATACATTTGTCGTGTAATGGCCTGGGATTATCAGGTATCTGCTTAATGCAAGCTGACACATTTTTAGCAGACTTTAAAACAAAAAATCCCTTCTCTTGTCTCAGCTGTACTACATTACCTTGAAAGTCAATTAACTTAGACTTATCCTTCTTCAAAGAAATCTCAAAATCTTCATCTAGAAGTTTGTTAACACTGAGAATATTATACATAATATTGGGTACATAGTACACATTCTCAAGAGTACATTTCAGACTGTCAATATAAAGATCACCACAAGAAAATACTTTAACTTTTCTATCATCAGCTAAAGAAATAAAATTTATATCAGAGTCTCTCACATTTGTCAACAGTTCTTTAGTTTTTACCAAATGCTGAGAACAGCCTGAATCTATAATAAAAGAGTTCATTATATCCTTCTTAGAGGTCACCAGGAAAGCATGCTGTAAGTCCTTTGAAGAACTAGGTCTTTCCACTTGCTTGTTTCTCCATTGTCCTTGATTCTGTTTGCAATTCTTAGCATAATGCCCTTTCTTTTTACATTTAAAGCACACAATTTGCGATTTTGGCTTAGCAACACAAGCAGTGTCATTAGAAGCAGTCCCAGAACTTGAACTTTTCTGTATAGGAGCAAAACTCCTCAATTTGCGTTGAGCCTCAAATTCCATAATTTTTCCTGAAATAAAAGGTATCGTGAGATCCCTGTCAGGAATTCCATGAAGAGAGTCCATGAACGCATAAAAAGGGCGAGATAGAGATCCCATCAAGATTAACGCTTGTTGCTCAGGGGGAAAAATAATGTCTCTTGCTCTCAACTCCGAAAAAAGAGCCACAACTCTTGTAACATGAGTTTGAACTGGAGAGCCCTCCTCATGTTTGAGGTTAAACAGCTGCCTCATAAGAATTATCTTCGAACCGCTTGATTGTCTCTGAAACATATCTTTAAACAAATTCCATGCAGTTTGCGCATGCAGAATATTATGAAGATGCACCAACAAAGAATCTGACACAGACAATTGAAGAAGTGCCAAAGCTCTTTCATCTTTATGTTGATCCGCAGGAGTTAATTGAGCTGGCAAGTTCTCAATTATGTCCCATAAATTCTGAGAAACAAGAAAAGCTTTAAATCTGACGCTCCAACTGAGCCAGTTACTTTCAGAAAGTTTATCAAAAGGGAGTGAACCAACTTGAAGAGGCGGCAAAGCCATTGTGGTATTTCACTTTAAAGTCCCAAAAAGTCCAGAAACAAAAATACTCACTGCACCAAAAGAAAAGACCCCCAGTACACCCGGGTTTAAGCTCAGCCAATTTATATTCACTACTTCAAGTAAAATTGGCTTCTAGCAGTCCAATATCTTTGCAGTAATTCTCTGGAATCCAAACACAGGGTCTGACACACAAACTGTTTTCTTCTTCTTTAGGCTTCTGAAACTTTTGTTGAAAACACCTCTGTGCAAGGCAAGACAGGAAAGCAACTTAGTTGGCCCTTGCTGCTCAGGCACGTAGAAGGCAAATTTTCCAACATAGCAAGCCATAAATCTTCTTGATTTCTCTGAAGGCAAATCCTCCAAGGTTTAGTGTACAGCAGCAAGCCATCACTTTAAACCTCACTGCTGATCAAAACAGCCAGGAACAGAAGATTCCAACAAAAAATGCCTTCAAAAACTTCTTAATGTTCCACCACATATTTACCTCAGACATGCGCATTATGCAGCGTTCTGGGCCCATAACCTGTTAGCAGAGTCTTTCTTTATTATAAATTCATAGTGGAAAACATCAAAAGTAAGAAAACAAACATCTTGCATCAGATATCAGACCCTAAACAAAACATTTAGAGTCCCAAACTCCAAAACGCCATAGCTTCTTCAAAAGCTCAAGGCTATAGCAATAGCAGAACGCTGAGGGACGCTGAAAGCTGCTGAAGGCTGCTGCTGGCTGCAGGCAGATGCAACACATTATAACCACAGTAATTAGATCCACCTGCACCCAATTAACCAAAACCACATCACAAGCATTTCAGCAATTAAAGATACAAACTTACTTATACATACATAACCCAAATACATACAATGAACAGATAAAATTTTGCACATTTTTACAGTTCTCCTGACATGGGCTACATCTCCCAGAACTAATCTAGATATTTCTGTGTGTGAGGGGAAGATCTATCTAGAAATAACCACAAATCAATCCAGTACACTCCTGGTGTAACTAGTAGTGGCAAACACCTTGGGAAGTCTGACTTGGCCACGGTGGTCCACGCTTTGGTTACATCCCTTTTAGATTACTGCAACGCTCTCTATGTGGGGTTGCCTCTGAAGACTGCCCGGAAGCTCCAACTAGTCCAACGAGCGGCAGCCAGAATACTAACACGAGCAGGGTACAGAGAGCATACTACTCCTCTGTTGCACCAGCTCCACTGGCTGCCAATTAGCTTCTGAGCACAATTCAAAGTGCTGGTGTTAACCTATAAAGCCCTAAACGACTTCGGCCCAGTTTACCTGTCCGAACGTATTCTCCCCTATGAACCATCTAGATTGTTAAGATCATCTGGAGGGGCCCTACTCTCGGTCCCACCGGCCTCACAAGCGCGTCTGGTGGGGACGAGGGACAGGGCCTTCTCGGTGGTGGCCCCTCGACTCTGGAACTCTCTCCCACTGGAGATCAGAACTGCCCCTTCTATCTTGACGTTCAGAAAACAGGTGAAAACTTGGCTCTGGAAATTGGCATTCGACGAGTGAGTCAATATTTTGTGATATGGATGGATGATGACGAACAACGATTTTATTGTGACGACTGACCATTGTAATCATATGACTGTATTTTGCTATTTTAATGTTTTTAGTTTAATATGTAATATGATGTTTTAATGACTGTTTGTGATATTATTGTTGGAAACCGGCCCGAGTCCCTCGATAGAGGTGAGAAGACCGGTATACAAAACTGCTAAATAAACAGCATGTATTTCAAAACAGGAAGAGTTTAGCCTTTTTAGCTATTTCACAGAATTTTAAAAACAGGAAGGTAGGTAAGTAGGCTTGTGTGTGTGTCACAGAGGGAGAAAGAGAGAGAAGAAAGGTTAGTACACAAAAGGACCTAAGTTCTGGTAGTCACTGTGCAGAACCTTGTTAGTACTCTACCAGCTTGAAGTGTTTTTGCCGCTGTATTGAATGTATTCCTCATTTTCTCATGAATCAAGTTGCCCCCTTGCAGACCTGGGTTGCTGCAACTCCTCCTTGTTCCTCTGTTTCCTCTTTGTAGAATTCTGTGACACGGAGCGCCCCTGTCTACAGCGACAGCCATGGACGGTGTGGGGTTCGTTTCCTCACCACCTACGACCGGCGGTTTGTCATCAAGGCGGTGTCGAGCGAAGATGTTGCAGAGATGCACAACATCCTAAAGAAGTATCATCAAGTAGGGATGGTGGAGAGGAACGGGGAGATATTAAATACCATCTTTCGTTCCATAATGGATAGAATGATGCATAAGGACAATCCTTTGGTGTGGGCAGGGGTTTCTATCATTTCTACAGTGTTCCCCTCTCTGCAGTCAGTAACAGGAAGGCATTTCCAAGTCACCTGCTTTGACTTGAGTCCTCCAGCAAGTCTCTTCCTCTCCTCAAGGGGATTTGGCACCATTGCTGGTATTTTTGGCACTAAAATTGATACCAAATATTTTAATATTTAGTTTGCACAATCTATATAAATAAAAATGTAATGTTCGTTTGTGAGATTAACAGAACTCAAAAACCACTGGATGAATTGCCACCAGATTTGGCCCCAAGACACTTACTAACCCAAGGAATGACCATCACTAAAAAAATTGATTTTGTCATTTAGGAGTTGTAGTTGCTGGGATTTATAGTTTACTTACAATCAAAAAGCATTCTGAACTCCACCAACAATGGAATTGAACCAAACTTAGCACACAGGACTCCCATGATGAAAAGAAAACACTAGAAGGGTTTAGTGGACATTGACCTTGAGTTTGGGAGTTGTAGGTCACCTACATCCAGAGAACACTGTGGACTCAATGATGGATCTGGACCAAACTTGGCACAAATCTCAATAGGCCCAAATATGAACACAGATGGAGTTTGGGGGAAATAGACCTTGACGTTTGGGGGTTGTAGTTACTGGGATTTATAGTTCACCTACAATAAAGAGGATTCTGAAACCCATGAATGACAGAATTGGGGCAAACTTCCCATACAGAACTCCCATGACCAACAAAAAATACTTAAGGTCATCCAGTCCAACGCTCTTCACCAGGGCAAGAAAACATAATCAAAGCCCTCCTGACAAAGACCCATCCAGCCATAGATATAGATAGATAGATAGATATGATTCACACATAGAGAGATATAGTATCATAGATTTGAACGGGACCCCTAAAGAAGGACAATGATATGTTGCATGTTCCAGAGTAGGCAAACCAGACAATCTCCACATCAACAAAGAAACAGCAAGAAATACTGTTTTCCCACAAGCATAAAAAAGTACATATATTAGAAACCAACACTTTCTCGTTACTTTATTTTCCAGATCACCAGACAGCCACATGTGGCAAGGGTCAGCTAATTAATAATAAAAACGTACAGATATACACAAACAAACACATTATTTTGGACAATGCTTCCTACTATCCATATTGTAATTGTTCCCCATTATGCATTTCTGTCCTCTCATCTGTCCTGTTATGGTGATCGCCTGTCCCTTGGGTTGAAGTCATCCATATATGACCATGTCTCTCCTTCCCAGTGAAGCATCCTCCCACTCTTCCTTATCTATATAAATAAAAATGTAATGTTCGTTTGTGGGATTAACAGAACTCAAAAACCACTGGACAAATTGACACCAAATTTGGACACAAGACACCTAACAACCCAATGTATGTCCTTCACTCAAAAAATTGATTTTGTCATTTGGGAGTTGTAGTTCCTGGGATTTATAGTTCACCTACAATCAAAGAATATTCTGAACCCCACCAACGATGGAACTGAACCAAACTTGGCATACAGTTCTCCCATGACAAACAGAAAACACTAGAAGGGTTTGGTGGGCAGTGTCCTTTGGTTTTGGAGTTGTAGTTCACTTACATCCAGAGATCACTGTGGACTCAAACAATGATGGATCTGGACCAAACTATACAAGAATACTCAATATGCCCAAATGTGAACACTGGTGGAGTTTGGGGAAAATAGAATCTTGACATTTGAGGGTTGTAGTTGCTGGGATTTATACTTCACCTACAATCACAGAGCATTCTGAACCCCACCAACAATAGAATTGGGTCAAACCTCCCACACAGAACCCCCATGTGGGCCACAGCAACGCATGGCAGGGGACAACTAGTAGCATATATAAAATATATAATTATAATACCATATTATTATTAGTAGTAGTATTATATTGTATTATACCCCAGTGGCACAGTGGGTTAAAGCGCTGAGTTGCTGAGCTTGTTGACTGAAAAATCGCAGGTTCGATTCTGGGGAGCGGCGTGAGCTTCCGCTGTCAGCCCTAGCTTCCGCCAATTTTATTTTTATTTATTTATTTATTTATTTATATGCCGCCCTTCTCACCCCGAAGGGGACTCAGAGCGGCTTACAAAGTATATATACATACAATATATTATTAACATAGTACAATATCAGTTTTAAATATTGCACTATATCAATTATACTGCAGTTCGAAAACATGCAAATGTGAGTAGATCAATAGGTACCGCTCCGGCGGGAAGGTAACAGCTCTCCATGCAGTCATGCCAGCCACATGACCTTGGAGGTGTCTATGGACAACGCCGGCTCTTCGGCTTAGAAATGGAGATGAGCACCACACCCCAGAGTCAGACATGACTGGACTTAATGTCAGGGGACAACCTTTACCTTTACCTATATTGTATTACATTATAATATTATAAATATTATATGTATATACAATATATTATATTACATATTATATTATATTATATTATTATTAGCATAGCACAGGAGACAAGATGGGACTGTCCCCTGGCTCTTCACTCTGGCCCAGAGCAGCAATTGGTGCTGGAGGGAGGGGTCCCCAACTGATGACATATGCAGGAGACAAGATGGGACTGTCCCCTAGCTCCCCCACTCTTCACTCCAGCCCAGAGCAGCAGTTGGTGCTTCTTGTCATTCCCTATGCTCAGCCTCTTTTTCTGCTCAGTGCCTCACATCTGTTTGAGTAGCTCCCAACCCATTTCCTTCTCTTTCTGCATAATTGCTAAGATGATGAATGATGCCACAGCGTGGAGGTTCTGTGGAAAGACACTGTAGGCACTTCCACAGTATTGGCAGGCTGGGCTGAATCAATATTTCCTGTCCCTCTCTCAGGGCACTGAACTGGGAAGTGTGTAGACATCATCCTTTGCCAAGGTGGGATATATTCTTCTATTCCTCCTCTGCTTTATTTCCCTCGTTCGGTGGGATCAAACTAGGCTCAGTACTGATATCCCGCAAAGCAGTTGGAAGACTCTCAATGAGAGGCTTGTGGTGCACCATCTGCACTTTCCATATTTGTTTACTTAGGAGAAGCACTAGCATCAACAGTAGTGGCAGAAGGAAAAGGGCTGTGGTCACTGCGGTCAGGAAGGGAGGAAGAGAGCACTTTCCCGAGGAGGGTCAGGCTGGCTTCATCCCTCTTAAGCTCCTGGAAAGCAGCCAGGACTCCACTCTGTGACCTTTAGTCCCATAAAACTGGGCTACCTTTCAGACTGTGTTCATTGTGTGTATGCACATTTTAGAAATAGGTTTTTAAAAACACTGCATTGACTTACTGTTGAAGATGTTTCCTCCTTCTGCTTTTAAATGTTTTGCATCACCTGGAGAGTCTTGGCAGGCTGAGAGGTAGCATTAAAACAAATCAGGCCCTGGAGAAATAGGCTGCTCGGATCCAACTGGTTATGTCTGTGTTCCCTCTTTCCCACCCAGAAAACATGCAACTGCAGTGTAGTGAATCTACAGAATTCTGACCTGGTTCTGCAAAATATATTATCTATCTTGCAAAATATTACCCTTTGCAAAATTTGGATTGCTCCCAGTCGCCTTTCAAATTACAGAAAGGTATATAATACTTACTTACTTACTTACTTAGGCGATCCCTCGTAGTCCGAGGATGATGGTCCTCCAAGTTCGGTGGGTCTGTAGGTGACTGTGGAGCCCAATTCTGGATCTGCATCTTCTCCCACAGTGAGAGCATTGGTTTCCAGGTGGAAGGCGGTCCCGGTCGGAGTTGGCTTGATGCATCTTCCTCTTAGCACGTTTCGCTCTTTCACCCTCAATCCGTGCCTCTTCAAATTCTGCAGCACTGCTGGTCACAGCTGACCTCCAGTCGGAGCGCTCAAGGGCCAGGGCTTCCCAGTTCTCAGTGTCTATGCCAGAGTTTTTGAAGTTGGCTTTGAGCCCATCTTTAAAGCTCTTTTCCTGTCCACCAACATTCCATTTTCCGTTCTTGAGTTTGGAGTAGAGCAACTGCTTTGGGAGATGGTGGTCGGGCATCCGGACAACATGGCTGGTCCAGCGGAGTTGATGGCGGAGGACCATTGCTTCAATGCTGGTGGTCTTTGCTTCTTCCAGCACGCTGATGTTTGTCCGTTTGTCTTCTCAAGAAATTTGCAGGATTTTCCGGAGGCAAAACTGATGGAATCGTTCTAGGAGTTGCATGTGACGTCTGTAGACAGTCTACATTTCGCAGGCTTATAGCAGGGCTGGGAGGACAATAGCTTTATAAATAATAATAATAATAATAATAATAATAATAATAATAATAATAACACTTTATTTGTACCCCTCCCCAAGGGACTCGGTGCGGCTTACATGAGGCCAAGCCCACAACACAGCAATAACAAGCAAAAACAACAATAATACAAGCAGTAAATAAAACTCATAACAGCAAATAAACAATAAATATTAGCAATAGCACGACAACATTTAAAAACTTATGGCTGGGCCAAATGTAATAATTTAAAATTTAAAATATACTGGACATGGCAGGTAAAATATGACTAGGGTGGATTTCCAGGAAGTGATGGGCGTGCAAAAACAATCCTAGGTCATTAATAAAGTGCATTTAAGGACAGATTTAAGCACCTTGATATCCCTACAGATGTCCCGGTCCTAAAACACTCTCTGCTTCATTCAGAAAAACGCTGCACTTGCAGAGCTCAGGCGATGTTTTATTTCGGTGTCGATGTTGACTTTGGTGGAGAGGTGGCTGCCAAGGTAGTGGAAATGGTCAACATTTTCTAATGTTACACCATTAAGTTGTATCTCTGGCATTGGAGAGGGGTTGGCTGGTGACTGCTGGAACAGCACTTTGGTTTTCTCGATGTTAAATGACAGGCCAAGCTTCTCGTATGCTTCTGCGAAGGTATATAATCATCATCATCATCATCATCACCATCTTTATTTATACCCCGCCGCCATCTCTCCAATGGGGACTCAAAGCGGCTTACATGGGGCCAAGCCCGGACAACATGTTACAGCAAAATAAAACCAGAAAATAAACAACAAGCAACATCATCAAAATTACATAGAAAAAAAAAGGTATAAACACAGTGACAAAATAACATTCCAATAAACACAATCACGATAACAGTGGGCAGGCCACATGTACAGGATAAAATGATTAAAAACTCGTAATGAGATAAAAAATAGGAGCAGGTTATTTGCAGGGAACTCATAAAAACACACAGGGTTGAGGAACTAAACTTCCAATTTGGAGGGTGTGTACTCCAATGGCAGAAGCATTGATGGGAACCATAGTATCATGTTGTGCACCTACTCGCCAAAGGCGCAGTGGAAGAGCAAGGTTTTAAGGTTCTTTATATCCTGTTGATTCACTTATTGGAAATAATACGGGGTTCTAAAAGATTTTCTGATACTTTGATTTTTTTAAAAAAAAAATGTCTCAAATATGCCTGTCAAATTTGAAGTTGTTCCACTCTTCCATTTAAGCATTGCCGGTGAGTTTTAGCCTCATGTTGATTGACTTCCATCTTCTCTCCTTCTTTCCCTCTTTTCAGTTCATTGTGGAATGCCATGGGAACACGCTTCTCCCCCAGTTCCTTGGCATGTACAGGCTTACTGTGGATGGTGTGGAAACCTACATGGTGGTCACCAGGAATGTGTTTAGTCATCAATTGACAGTGCATCGGAAATACGATCTCAAGGTGAGGACCATTAATACTTTGACCATCTTAGGCTATGGAAACCCTAGTCTTTTCAGCATGGTAATAGGCACCACCAGGGCTCCCTGGTGGCACAGTGGGTTAAACCGCTGAGCTGCTGAATTTGCTGACGCCGCTTCATGCAGTCATGCTGGCCACATGACCTTGGAGGTGTCTATGGACAGTGCCGGCTCTTCAGCTTAGAAATGGAGATGAGCACCACCCCCCAGAGTCAGACATGACTAGAGTTAATGTCAGGGGAAATCTTTAGCTTTAATCAAGTCATATTCTCCCCAAAAGATATTAGGCAGTTACTGGAGTGAGAGAAGTAGGCGTAAGAAGGAAGTGAGAGAGTAGGCGTAAGAACAATGCGCGCGTGTATATATATATATATATATATATATATATATATATATATATAGTGTCAGGAGCGACTTGAGAAACTGCAAGCCGCTTCTGGTGTGAGAGAATTGGCCATCTGCAAAGATGTTGCCCATGGGATGCACAGATGAGGAGCTGAAGCTGATAGAGGGAGCTCATCCGTCTCTCCCCGGATTCGAACCTGCGACCTGTCGGTCTTCAGTCCTGCGCCACCGGGGGCTCCCATAAAATATATTGGAAAAAGATTCATGAAATTATACAAAAAAAAATTGAAATGAATTTCAAGTGAAATACAAATACTATTTATTAGGGATGCTAGATATGAAAATAAGCAAAAATGAAGGCATTTTATTCAACTATATGAGTACAGCAGCCAGAATTGTGTATGCCAAAAAATAGAAGACCAAAGAAATTTTTCTTTTTCTTCTTCTTCTTTTTCAAATAATAGGGCTTTCCTTCCCTATTTCTCCCCCGTCATAGATAGTATTTTTGCCTGTCCCCCAAATAACCCACTCCCTTTTTTTCTTTCCCCCCAATTTTACACTCTGAGATCCCCCTTTTTCTCTAAAAAATAAATAAATAACTATTTAAAAAAATGAACAATGCATATACCTCAGGTTTATTGTGCAGAAGTGAATTTTTGGGGGGAATTTCTGCATGATCAAACCCAGTGTTCCATGGACAACATTATGGCAGGAATGGCCAACAATCCATCCATAGGCCTTATCTCTTCTCCACCCATTTTGTGATTCACCGACCACATCCTGACCTCTCCGGACACCACTATGTTTATTTTAATGGGGTAAATAAAGAAGAATGTATATGTAGAAATGCCCTGAATTAATCAAGGCCAATGGTGTGTTTTATATGAATTCTTGGACTGTTTGGTTCTAAGTTAGATCTCTTCTTCCTCCTCACCCGATTCCCTTTGCTTTCTCCTTCAGGGTTCAACAGTAGCAAGGGAAGCCAGCGACAAGGAAAAGGTAAGATGAGAGCAATATTTGGGAACTTTGGATAGGAAAGCCTTTGTAATTATTTGTAAATGTCAGAAAGAAGTGGGTTTACTTCTAGTCGGGTTCTTAAAAAGAAGATGGAGTCCTGGTAACCCAGATGGGAACTGCATGACCTTCCAGATGTTGGTGGCATAAAACATCTCAATCTATCTAGTATAACCCATGATTAAAGTTTGTGGGGTTTGCAGTCCAACATTCTCTGGAGGCCACATGTCCTTTTGAAATGGGTGCAGGGTTGAAGGAGCAGAATAGCTGTTTAATGTATTGTCGAAGGCTTTCATGGCCAGAATCACTGGGTTGTTGTAGGTTTTTTCGGGCTATATGGCCATGTCCCTATGCGGATTTTCACTTATTGCGGGTGGTCCTGGAACGGAACCCCTAATAAGTGAGGGAACACTATATTTGTTATTGTAGTCATAAACAAATGTAATACCCAGCCTTCCCTTTCCACTCACAAACTATGCTCATTAAGGGATGGAGGGATGAAAGTTTTCCTTTTGCAAGAATTGGTGATTCTTAAACTGCTTAAGTTTCATTTGTTTCTTTATTTGAAAAAAATATACCCCCGTCCCCCGGATTTGGTTATTTACGAATGTATTTTAATTCTCTATTCCCCTCACTCTGACCTTTTTTTATTCTAATCCGGAAAAGCCAGATGGTGTTCTATTTTAAGGACTGCCAGTTGATTAGATATTCAGATTAATGATTTTTTAAAACCTTGGTAGAACTATAAACCATCCAAACTGTATCCCAGATCCCTTGATACTGGTGCCCTTCTGGACTTCAGAAAACATTGACTTCCAGTTTAGCTTCCCCTAAATCCAAGTAACACCTAATAATCCATTAGTTTTTGGTTAGCTGATTTTCAAGAATCACAATTCTGTGGAACAGATAGAAATTTTCATCATGTGGGGCAGGTAATGCGTAAGTGGTTATGTCAAAAAACAGGATTATCATTGGCCAAAGAAAAAAAATATTTTATCACTGATGTACAAGTAAACTGTACAACAAAGAAGGTGAGAAGGATTCAGTTTGGATACAGCCTGTTTGATGGAAAATGAAAAGAAAGAATATGACTTAGTATTGATCTCAGACACTCCTAGGAATGTTATTCAGCTTATTTTGCTATGCATCCTGTTTTAAAGAGAATTACAGCAACACTGCTGAAACTTTTACCAACTTGGTTGCAGAAACAGCATGAAGGATGGCAGGAACAGCAAACAGACACCATGAAGACTATAGGCCAGTGCTTCTCAACCTGGGGGTCGGGACCCCTGGGGGAGGGTCATGAGGGATTGTCGCCAAAGACCATCAGAAAACAGAGTATTTTCTATTGATCTTGGGCGTTCTGTGTGGGAAATTTGGCCCAATTCTATGGTTGGTGAGGTTCAGAATGCTCTTTGGTTGTAGGTGAACTATAAATCCCAGCAACTACAACTCCCAAATGTCAAGGTCTATTTTCCCCAAACTCCACCAGTGTTCACATTTGGGCATGTTGAGGATTTGTGCCAAGTTTGTGGACCCAAACAATCCATCATTGTTTGGGTCCACAGTGCTCTCTGGATGTAGGTGAACTACAACTCCAAAACTCAAGGTCAATGCCCACCAAACCCTTCCAGTATTTTCTGTTGGTCATGGAAGCTCTGTGGGCCAAGTTTTGTTCAATTCCATTATTGATGGAATTTGAAATGTGCTTTTATTGTTGTTGTTGTTCATTCGTTCAATCATTTTCGACTCTTTGTGGCTTCATGGACCAGCCCACGCCAGAGCTCCCTGTCGGCTGTCACCACCCCCAGCTCCTTCCTATGGTGTATTGATCTTTAGTATCCAAGAAACAGATGTCTATGAACAATAACAAAATACAAGTTGCAAAGCATTATCAAAACAGAATTGTGTTAACATAAAGCGTGTAAATACACTGTAAATGAATCACAAAACAAAACTGAATGTTACTGGAATTCCAAATGATGATACGACAAGGGTTGAGGTTGCCTTGTTTCAGGGGACTTCCCCTTCTTCAGGGTTTGTCTTCTTTATGAAAGTGGGTGGTTCACACCATACATCCCTAAATGGGTGATAACAACAACATAATAGATATGCCAAAAAAGGCAACCTCAACCCGGGGATCCTTGTCGTATCATCATTTGGATTATATTTTGAACTGGATACCATTTGGACTTAATTTGGACAGTATCTGAAGATAATTTACTGTCTCAAGGATTACAAGATAACTAAGTAACATTCAGTTTTGTTTTGTGATTCATGTACAGTGTATTTTCACGCTATATGTTAACACAGTTCTGTTTTGATAACGCTTTGCAACTTGTATTTTGGTATTGATCTTTAGAGCATCGGATTCGTCGTTCATCTCCAGCACCATCGGCCGCTAGCCTTCCTTTCGGCTTTGAGCTAGCTGCATCATCACATCTGGGGCTAGTTGAACTTATCCTCTGCTCCTCCCCAGTAGCTTTTTGGCCATCTTCCGATCTGGGAGTCACATCTTCCAATAGCATACCAACATATCTCTGGTTGTAGTGGTCCATTTAGTTTTATTGGCAAGAAACTGTAGTGGGTTGCCATTGCCTTCCCCAGGTATCGCGCTTGGTCTGACCTCTCTGCCACGACCATCCTGTCTTGGGTGGCCCTTCATGGTTTCGCTCGTGACATCATTGAGGTGCTCAAGTTCCAGCGCCACGACAAGGCGAGGATCCTTTACTGGAGCTTTGATTGTAGATTAATTTATTTATTTACAGCATTTATATTCCACCCTTCTCACCCCGCAGGGGACTCAGGGCGGATTACAGTGTACACATATATGGCAAACATTCAATGCCAATTTTGACATACAACATATACAAACATAGACAGAGGCTATTTAATTTTTCTGGCCACCAGGGGAGCTGTCGCTTTCATCGTCCATCTGCGACACTGATGAAGTATTTCCGCATTCCCCGCATGCTTTTTCTGGAGTGCTTGCTGGAGTCTTTTTTTATGGCCTCATAAATTAGTTAATTTAGCCTCCCCACACTTTAAGGTGGTACCTAATTTTCCTACTTCTTGACAGATGCAACTGTCTTTCGGGTTGCAAAGGTCGACAACAGGCTACACAATTGGTTGGAAACCCACTCCAACCCGGGCTGGCTTCGAACTCATGACCTTTTGGTCAGAGTGATCTTAATGCAGCTGACACTCAGCCAGCTGCGCCACAAATCCCAGCAACTACAACTCCCAAAGGACAAAATCAATCCCCCCATCAGTATCCAAATTTGGCACAAATACCCAATATGCCCAAATTTGGACACTGATGGGGATGGGCATAATGGGTATTTGTGCCAAATGTGGTCCAGTGAATGAAAATACATCCTGCATATCAGATAATTACATTACAGTTCACAACAGTAGCAAAATTACAGTTACGAAGTAGCAATGAAAATAATGTTATGGTTAGGGGTCATCACAACATGAGGAACTGTACTAAGGGATCGCAGCATTAGAAAGGTTGAGAACCACTGCTATAGGCCATAGGTTGCACACTCTTACCTAGTCACAAAGATCTGGATAGTTGAGTTGCATCCTCAGCAACTATTAACAGAGAATTCCTGTTGCAAGTTTAATTTTCTTCTTTTTTAAAAATAACACAATATCGGCCTTTCCTGCAGCCTAAGCAAAACTGCTCACTGAGCCAGTGTTCTGTGTGATCTCCCTCTCATGACTTAGAGTGAATTCCTGGACATGTTTGAGCACTTTGGATTCTTTCAGCTTCTTAGTGAACTCTGGTCTTACTTTGGTTAAACTCTCCTTCTTTCTAGGCAAAGGATCTGCCAACATTTAAAGACAATGACTTTCTGAATGAAGGCCAAAAGCTGCATGTCGGAGAGGAATCTAAAAAGAACTTTCTGGAAAAGTTGAAACGAGACGTGGAGGTAGATTTGTGCTTAGCGGGTGGTGGGAAAGTGGGGAAGCTGAGAGTGGTGATGCTAGAACCACGTATCTAGAAAGTATTGCAAATGTTTTTCCCTTCTCTGGTTGGTACTTTGAGGAGATTTTCCAGCTCTCCAGGACTCTCTAGTCTCCTAATTTATCTATATAAATAAAAATGTAATGTTAGTTTGTGGGATTAACATAACCCAAAAGCCATTGGATGAATTGTCACAAAATTTGGACACAATACACCTATCAGGCCAATGAGTGACCATCACTCCTAAAAACACTGAAAAACACAGTGGAAGAAACTTAAAAAACCAAAAAAACAAAACAAAAAAATACATTATAACACACATGCAAAACTACATATATATACAAACGCACATATATACACAAATATACACACACACATATACACAGACTGGACCACAGCAACATGTGGAAGGGGACTGCTAGTATCTATATAAATAAAAATGTAATGTTTGTTTGTGGGATTAACATAACTCAAAAATCACTGGATGAATTGACACCAGACTTGGACACAATGCACCTATCAGGCCAATGAATGACCATCACTCATAAAAACACTGAAAAAACACATCGGAAGAAACTTAAAAAGCCAAAAAACAAAAAAATACATTACAACGCATGCGCAAAACCACATATATACACAAATATATACAAACACATATACACAGAATGGATCACAGCAATGTGTGGAAGGGGACAGCTGATATCTATATACATAAAATGTAATGTTTGTTTGTGGGATTAACATAACTCAAAAATCACTGGATGAATTGACACCAAACTTGGACACAATACACCGATCATACCAATGAGTGACCATCACTCATGAAAACACTGAAAAAAACACAGCGGAAGGGACTTAAAAAGCCAAAAAAGCAAAAAGATGCTACAGCGCATGTGCAAAAACGACTTCTCCTGGCAAAAAAAACCTCACACAATAGCATATCCACACTCTCTTCCAGACTGCAGCTCCCAGCATCCCCTAGACCAGGCTCTTTAGGAGAGGAGGATGATCCAAATACACTGATTCCAAAATGCAAGCTTTCTTCTCCTTGGATTTCTCATTCCTGGATTGCAACTCCCAGCAATCTTCCACATAGATAGATTAGATAGAGATAGAGATAGAGACAGAGACAGAGATAGAGAGATAGAGAGATAGATAGATAGATAGATAGATAGATAGATAGATAGATAGATAGATAGGTAGATAGGTAGATAGGTAGATAGGTAGATAAATCGATCAGGAGGACTGCTGGGAGTTGCAGTCCAAGAATAGGTAGAGAAGGAAGAGAAAGGGGAAGGGAAAGAAAGGGGGGGGGAATGGAAGAGGTAGAGAAGGAAGGAAGGAAGGAAGCAAAGAAAAAGGGGAAGGAAAGAAATAGAGAAGGATGGAGAGAAAGAAAGGAGAGAAAGAGGAAGGTTGGCCACAACGACTATGTGAGTCGCCTTCGGGCTTGAGATACAGCGGTATATAAGCAAAGTAAATAAATAAATAAACAACGCCTGGCGGATATAGCTAGTATCTAATAAATTATATATAATTTATATATAATTTTATAATAATTTAGATATAATTTAGATATAATTTATAAATATCTCCAATGTATAGAATACCTTTCTACTAACAGTGTCCACCTCCTCCTCATCTCAGGATAATAATAATAATAATAATAATACTTTATTTATACCCCGCCACCATCTCCCCAAGGGACTCGGAGCGGCTTACATGAGGCTAAGCCCAATAACACATCAAAACAGAAAAGCAATAAACAAAACAATGCAATGCAATGCAAATTACCGTATATACTCGAGTATAAGCCGACCCAAATATAAGCCGAGGTATGGAGCCCCCGGTGGCGCAGTGGGTTAAAGCACTGAGCTGCTGAGCTTGTTGATCAAAAGGTCGCAGGTTCGATTCCGGGGAGCGGCGTGAGCTTCCGCTGTCAGCCCTAGCTTCTACCAACCTAGCAGTTCGAAAACATGCAAATGTGAGTAGATCAATAGGTACCGCTCCGGCGGGAAGGTAACGGCGCTCCATGCAGTCATGCCGGCCACATGACCTTGGAGGTGTCTACGGACAATGCTGGCTCTTTGGCTTAGAAATGGAGATGAGCACCACACCCCAGAATCAGACATGACTGGACTTAATGTCAGGGGACTACCTTTACCTTTTTACCTAATTTTACCACAAAAAATTGGGGAAATGTATTGTCTCGAGTATAAGCCGAGGGGTGGGAAATGCAGCAGCTACTAGTAAATTTCAAAATAAAAATAGATAACAAAAAATTACATTAATGGAGGCATTAGTAGGATAAATGTTTTTGAATATTTACATAAAACTGTAATTTAAGATAATACTGTCCAACTCTGATTAAACCATTATTTTAACCTTCTTCAATGTAAATGTGCTAACGTATCCTTCCAATAATAAGAAGAGAGCAAAATAATAAATGTGATAAAATAATTGAGTAAAATAATGTAAATGTAATAAAAATAGAATAAAATTGATAAAATAATCAAAACAGTAATATATAGAGTAAAACAATAAATGTAATAAAATAATAATAGGGTAAAATATTATAAATGTAATAATAGAGTAAGATGATAAATGTAATAAAAATAATACTAATAAAATAATAATAGAGTAAAATAATATAAATGTAATAATAGAGTAAGATGATAAATGTAATAAAAATAATACTAATAACAGAGTAAAATAATAAATAACTTTGACTCGAGTATAACTGAAGGGAGCTTTTTCAGCCTAAAAAAGGGACTGAAAAACTAGGCTTATACTTGAGTATATACAGTAATATATATAACATATAACAATAACACACAAGGATTTAAAAACCTATGGCCAAGCCAAATGTAATAATTAAAAAAATAAATAAAAAATAACGCTGGGCATGAATAAGGTAGGATATATCTCGTAGGTGGGTTTTAAAAAGTGAGGGACGCAGTCCAATGCAATCCAGCAGTTAAAGTGCATTTGTAAGGACATTTTGCTGGGAGTTATTGTCTCCACTTTTATCCAGTATCGCCTTTGCTTGTCCCAAAAGTAAATGAAAGTTGGATGAAGCCTTGAAGCAGATGCATTGAATTTGAGGGGACCCATTATGTTCTAGTGGGGATGTGGGTGGTTAGGTCACAGCAACTGGAGAAAGAGAGAGAGAAAGAAAATATATTTCTTTTGGCTTCCAGTTTCTCGCTCAGTTGAAGATCATGGATTACAGTCTACTGGTAGGGATCCATGACGTGGACCGTGCAGAGCAGGAAGAAACAGAAATTGAGGACCGGGCAGAAGACGAGGAGTGTGAGAACGACGGCATTGGTGGGAACCCTGTCGGTTCCTATGGAACCCCACCAGACAGCCCTGGCAACCTTCTCAACTTCCCCCGGTTTTTTGGTCCTGGAGAGTTTGATCCATCAGTGGATGTCTACGCCATGAAAAGTCATGAAAGTGAGTGGGCAAGTATGGACGGGGAAAGAAAAAGAAGTGGGACAGAAAGGGGGAAGTGGCCTGAATGGAAACCCAGAGGGTTGTGTTGGAAAATCCCTTAATGCCAGGGGTTTAGTAATATAAAAATACAGATTGATATCAATATATGATATTTAGCCTATTCTATCACTTCTATGTTCTTGAGCATCACAAAGTTTTTTGGCTTCTTGACCAACAGTCACTTAGCAGAGGAAACCTGCCCATGTTTTCCGAGTTTCGCCAGCTGTTTGTGGCTGAAGAGGAAATTTGGGTTTGCCCTTGGGTGCAGGTCATATGGAATAATAGCAAGGAACAGACTTTGGACTCAAATCAAGAGCACTTCTTCTCAAAGCAGTGGTCTGTAGACTGGTACTAGTTCATGGCCAATTGACTGCTAGTTCATGATCAATTTCCAGAAAAGGAAGACACAGTTGTAGCCAAAGGGCACTAATATAATATCAGTCCCTATTTATTTATTTATTTATTTATTTATTTATTTATTTATTTATTTATTTATTTATTTATTTATTTATTTATTGTGTCAGGCAACCGAACAGTTGTATTACATTTTTGACAGAACAAACAAACAAACATACAAAAGACACAGAGTTTACAAGCTTAAATGTCCTTTGACCAGTATCTGGCCACTTGGAATGCCTCTGGTGTTGCCGCAAGTAGGTCCTCCATTGTGCATGTAGCAGGGCTCAGGTTGCATTGCAGCAGGTGGTCAGTGGTTTGCTCTTCTCCACACTCGCATGTCATGGATTCCACTTTGTAGCCCTATTTCTGAAGGTTGGCTTTGCATCTCGTGGTGCCAGAGCACAATCTGTTCAGCGCCTTCCAAGTCGCCCAGTTTTCTGTGTGCCCAGGGGGGAGTTTCTCATTGGGTATCAGCCATTGATTGAGGTTTTGGGTTTGAGCCTGCCACTTTTGGACTCTCGCTTGCTGAGGTGTTCCAGTGAGTGTCTCTGTAGATCTTAGAAAACTATTTCTTGATTTAAGTCGTTGGCGTGCTGGCTGATACCCAAACAAGGGATGAGCTGGAGATGTCTCTGCCTTGGTCCTTTCACTATTGGCTGCTACTTCCCGGCGGATGTCTGGTGGTGCAATACCAGCTAAACAGTGTAGTAGCATAGCGCAAGCAGCAGCAGAGTAGCATAGCGCAAGGGCGGATGTCTTCACTGTGTCTGGTTGTGATCCCCAGGTTGTGCCAGTCAGCTTTTGTATGATATTGTTTCTAGCACCCACTTTTTGCTTGATGTTCAGGCAGTGCTTCTTGTAGGTCAGAGCACAGTCCAGAGTGACTCCCAGGTATTTGGGTGCGCTGCAATGCTCCAGTGGGATTCCTTCCCAGGTGATCCTCAGAGCTCGGGATGCTTGTCTGTTCTTGAGATGAAAAGCACATGTCTGTGTTTTAGATAGATTAGGGATCAGCTGGTTTTCTCTGTAGTAGGCAGTAAGAGCACCTAGAGCTTCGGAGAACTTCTGTTCAACCATCTCAAAGCTCCCTGCTTGAGCAGTAATGGCACAATCATCAGTCTAGATGAAGCTCTCTGTCCCTTCTGGCAGTGGCTGGTCATTTGTGTAGATGTTAAACATGGATGGAGCAAGCATGCTCCCCTGAGGCAGGCCGTTCTTCTGTTTCCACCATCTGCTTCTCTGGCCCTGGAACTCAACAAAAAAGCTCCTGTTTTGTAGCAGGTTTCCTATGAGACGGGTGAGGTGGTAGTCCTTTGTGATATTATACATTTTTATCAGTTCCTGACCCATTGGCAAAAAAAATAAATCTGACACATCAGATAGCTTACCTGTCTGAAAGCATTTTCCCTTATGAACCTGCTAGGATGTTAAGATCATCTGGGGAGGCCCTGCTCTCGATCCCGCCTGCGTCACAAACACGTTTGGTGGGGAGAAGAGACAGGGCCTTCTCAGTGATGCCCCCCCCCCCCGGGCTATGGAACGCCCTTCCTGGGGACATTAGATCAGCTCCCTCCCTCTTAACATTTCGGAAAAGACTCAAAACTTGGTAGTTTGAGCAAGCGTTTGAAATGCAAAGTAAAAGACATAGGAATTGGAACGACTGGATGACAAGATACGACAATGTTTTTTATTAAGAGACGCAAATGATCTATGTTTTGATATTCTGGTTATGGTTTTATATTATGTGTTAATGTTTTTAAATGTTTTATGGTGTTTTGGGGCATCAAGTCGTTGCCATTGTTAACCGCCCTGAGTCGCCCGAGGGCTGAGAAGGGTGGTATAAAATACAGTAAATAAATAAGTAAATAAATAAATAATGCCCTCAAAAATATGTCAAAATCCTTTGTAATGCAAACTGTTTCTGTCACAGACAAAGTAGTCATACACGCCCGTAGCCAGGATTTTGATTCAGGGAGGGGGGGAGCTGAGTTTGATTCGGGGGGGGGGGGGTGGGGGGGGGGAGGCTGAGTCTGAGTGAGAGAGGATCTACCCTAGCAACTTTTTGTATCGTTGTCCCAATGCCCCCATGCATATGGGATATATTGAGCATGGTGATCAGATCATGATATGAATAAATCTAACAGTTTAAATAATGTATCAGTAAGGCCTTCTTGCGGACCACCCTGAGAATTTGGGGGGGGGGGGTGAAGTGTCCCCCCCCCCCCCCCCCCGCTACATGCCTGCAGTTCCTGGCAGTCAGTCCTAATGCACACATACATTAGTTATCCTCTTGTATAGCCCGCCCCAATCTATACCCCCCAGCTGTTGCACTAAAAATCCCATCGTGCCCAGCACAGTTGGCAACCACCTAGTTCAGAAGTCTGCCCTTCAACAGCATTGCCCAATCCTCAGTCCCCCTATATATTCAAGCAGCAGTTCCTATTTAATTAATTGATTTAACCTTCCCTTCTATACTTTAGTCAAAAGCTATAGGTGCATTATGAATATGTAAATTATGTTTCCCACCAAAAAACAAATTATCAGTCGTGCATAACCTAACTGATAAGAGTGATGCACGGCATATGCTCAGGGCAGCTGCTTATTTCTTGATATGCTTCATCAGATTCATAACATTCACTGGGATATTTTGGGTATTGCTTCAAGGCGCTGGCTTGATTTGAAATGTGATCCCCAGGCCACTTCTCTAGGCTTGTGATTGCAGTATTTGACCATACTGCCTATCCAAGGAGAACAGCAACTCCTAAAGATGACATGATGTCCGTGTCAACATCTCTCCCTCTGCCTCTCTATCTCTTTCTCTTTCTCATTAGGCGCTCCCAAGAAGGAGGTGTATTTCATGGCCATTATAGATATCCTCACACCATATGACACAAAGAAGAAAGCAGCACATGCTGCCAAAACTGTGAAACACGGGGTAAGGAGAAATCACTTCGTTGTCTTTATTCCTTGGATGTTGCCAGAAAGTTGCCTCGGCTACCACAACGTTCTGCTATTGGAAAGGGAGAATTTCTCTCCGTTTTGTTTACCTTCTCGGGAAGCTCATCTGTGATCTTTATCTCTGACCTTTTTAGTTCACTTTGAAAAGTTACTTTTAAAAATAATGTTTTGTGTTACTTGTCACAAAGATCCATAAGATGTGTATATATTACCAAAACAAAAACAACCCAGTAGCTCTTTCTATTGGTCATTACTTTGTAGTTCCTTTCAGATGGGCAATAATCCATCAATATAGATAAGAAAATGATCTACAGCAGCGTTTCTCAACCGGGGAGTTGAATCCCGGGGGTGGGTCGTGAGAGGGTTTCAGAGGGGTCGCCAAAGATAATCAGAAAACATAATAACAATAATAATAATAATAATAATAATAATAATAATAATAATAATAACAACAATTTATATAAATAAAAATGTAATGTTCATTTGTGGGATTAGCAGAACTCAAAAACCACTGGGGGAATTGACACCAAATTTGGACACAAGACACCTAACAAGCCAATGTATGTCCATCACTCATAAAAACACTGAAAAATACAGCAGAAGGGACTTAAAATGCCCCAAAAAGCTAAATGACAAAAAGCTAAATGACAATACAGAAAAAAGGGAAGAAAGAGGGAGCAAAGGGGGGGAAAGAAAGAAAGAAAGAAAGAAAGAAAAGAAAGAGGGAGGGAAAGAAAGAAGGAAAGGGAGAAGGGAGCATGGAAGCAAAGAGAGAAGGAAGGAAAGAGGTAGAGAAAGGAGAAAGGAGAGAAAGAGATAGTGAAAGAAAAGGGGGAAGGAAGGAAAGTTAGAGAAGGAAGTAAGGAGAGAAGGAAAGAAGGAAGGAAAGAGGGAGCGAAGGAAGGGGAGAAGATGTAGAGAAAGAGGGCGGAAAGGAAAGAAGTTAAGAGAGAAGGAAGAAAAGAGAGACAGCAGAAGAGAAAGAAAGAGGGGGAAGGAAGGAACGAGATAGAGAAGGAAGAAGAGAAGGAAAGACGGGAAGGAAGGAAGGAAAGAGGGAGTGAAGGAAAGAGGGAAAGAAGGAGAGAAAAAGAGAAGGTTGGCCACAGCAACGCGTGGCAGGTAAAGCTAGTCTATATAAATTGACACCAAATTTGGACACAAAACACCTAACAACTCTATGTCCTTCACTCAAAAAAAAAAATTGATTTTGTCATTTGGGAGTTGTAGTTGCTGGGATTTATATTTCCCCTACAATCAAAGAACATTCTGAACCCCACCAACGATGGAATTGAACCAAACTTGGCACACAGTTCTCCCATGACCAACAGAAAATACTGGAAGGGTTCGGTGGGCAGTGTCCTTTGGTTTTGGAGTTGTAGTTCACCTACATCCAAAGATGACTGTGGACTCAAACAATGATGGATCTGGACCAAACTGTACAAGAATACTCAATATGCCCAAATGTGAACACTGGTGGAGTTTGGGGAAAATAGAATCTTGACATTTGGGAGTTGTAGTTGCTGGGATTTATAGTTCACCTACAGTCAAAGAGCATTCTGAACCCCAGCAACGATAGAATTGGGCCAAACCTCCCACACAGAACCCCCATGTGGGCCACAGTGGTGGCCCTTCGGCTATGGAACACCCTTTCTAAGGAGATTAGATTGGCTCCCTCCCTCTTAACGTTTCGGAGGCAGGTTAAAGCGTGGTTGTTTGAGCAACTCCTTCTCATCTGTCACTCCTTCTCACTTGTCACCAAGGAGGCTGTCCAGACCTTGAACCGGTGCTTGGCTGCTGTGTCGACTGGATGAGAGCTAACAAGTTGAAATTGAATCCAGACAAGACAGAGGTCCTACTGGTCAGCCGTAAGCCCAAACAGGGCATAGTGTTAGATGGGGTTACAGCCTGTGTTAGATGGGGTTACACTCCCCCTGAAGATGCAGGTTCGCAGCTTGGGAGTGATCCTGGATTCATTGCTGAGCCTGGAACCCCAGGTCTCAGTGGTGGCCGGGAGAGCTTTTGCACAATTAAAACTTGTGTGCCAGTTGCGCCCGTACCTTGGGAAGTCAGATCTGGCCACGGTGGTCCACGCTCTGGTTACATCCTGAATAGATTACTGCAATGCACTCTATGTGGGGTTGCCTTTGAAGACTGTTCGGAAACTTCAATTAGTCCAGCGGCGGCAGCCAGATTACTCACATACAGGAAGCATACTACCCCTCTGTTATGTCAGCTCCACAGGCTGCCAATCCAGTTCTGAGCACAATTCAAAGTGCTGGTTTTGACCTACAAAACCCTATATGGCTCCGGCCCAGCATATCTGTCCGAACGCATTTCCCTCTACGTCCCACCTCGGAGTTTAAGATCTTCTGGGGAGGCCCTGCTCTCGGCCCCGCCTCTATCACAAGTGAGATTGATGGGGACGAGGAGCAGGGCCTTCTCGGTGGTGGCCCCTCACCTGTGGAACTCACTCCCCGGGGTAATTAGGTCATCGACATCCCTCCTTTCCTTTAGAAGGAAATTAAAAACATGGATTTGGGACCAGGCATTTGGGTAATCTGGCAGACAGATAAAGGACAATGATGACTAGAACTGATAGGAATTGACGATGTAGAATGAATTCATGGATTCTGAGCTGGCGAACGTTGAGCATGAGATTGGCTTTATTGATTGTGATATGTAACTGATTGTTTTAACTGGTTATAACTGTTTTAATTGCTGTTTATATATGTTTATTTGTACTATTGTGTAGGCATCGAATTGTGCCTTTTGTAAGCCGCCCTGAGTCCCCCCTCGGGGGTTGAGAAGGGCGGGGTAGAAATACGCGAAATAAATGTTTACAAATGCAGAGTAGCTAATATATAGGAAATTGAATAACTTGACGATGGAACTGGACAATGCTTGATAATAAGGAGATGCTAATGATGTGGTTTTTATTGCTTTTGCTGTGTTTTATACTGTTTTAATGTTTATTACGGTTTTATGTGTACTGATTTGTTGGAAACCGCTTTGAGTCGCCAATTGGCTGAGAAAGGCGGTATACAAATACAGTACATAAATAAATAAATAAATAAATAAATAAATACACACACACACATTTATATTCCGCCCTTCTCACCCGGAAGGGGACTTAGGGCAGAGCACAGCATATATACGGCAAACATTCAATGCCGGGACACAAATTCCTATATACATAAAAGGTAAAGGTAGTCTCCTGACATTAAGTCCAGTCATGTCTGACTCTGAGGTGTGGTGCTCATCTCCATTTCTAAGCCAAAGTGCCGGCGTTGTCCATAGACCCTCCAAGGTCATGTGGCCGGCATGACTGCATGGAGCACCGTTACTTTCCCGCTGGAGCGGTCCCTATTGATCTACTCACATTTGCATGTTTTCAAACTGCTAGGTTGGCAGAAGCTAGGGCTGACAGCGGAAGCTCACGCCACTCCCCGGAATCGAACCTGCGACCTTTCGGTCAACAAGCTCAGCAGCTCAGTGCTTTAACCCACTGCGCCACCGGGGGCTCCTCTTATATACATACATAAACATTGAAAACATTTATCAAAATATTAAAATACATTTAAAACTCTGAAAGTGTCAGGATGACGTAGAAATGAGATATTATCGACGCTGAATCGAATCATTCTGTAGCTGAACCCCATTCTTTTGTCTTTCAGGCTGGAGCAGAGATTTCCACGGTCAATCCAGAACAGTATTCAAAACGCTTCAATGAATTTATGTCCAATATCCTGACATAGTTATCTTCCCGTCGTTGGCAAAAGTGGAGAGAGAAAGAAGTGGGACAGGGGGACTATATCCAAAGTAACAAGAATGTAGTCCCCTCTGTCTGAGTGTCATCTTCTGTGAGCGTGGTAACAGCAAGACCCAGAAGAAAACTAGCTGTAGACCTCAGAATCTTCTGCTTGACCTGGTGGAAAAAGTGGGATTTGGGAAAAAAATCTCCGTATCTCTTCTTTTGGTTGCTAAAATACACAAAACCTGAGGAATGACACCACTTTATCTTAGAAGAGTATCGCAGACTCCAGATGGTCAGATGCCAATGTGAATTTTTTTTTTTAAAAAACAGACATTAACTCTACCTGCGGTTGTTCCTTCAACTTGACTGTTTCTTCACCCCTTTGTTGCACCTTTCTCTAAGAACAGGACAGAATGCGTGCCGCTTGGAGGACAAAAACTGTTACAATGACGTGGAGAAGCCATTGAATTGGAAGCAAAGACTTTTTCCTTACCTTATTTTGATATTACAGGTTTTTCCGCCCCCAATCCCAAATGTCCTTTTGAAAGATATGGGGAGGGAAGGTGATAACAATTTGCTTACTTAGTATTTCATGCAAATCAAGGAAGTAAAGGCAGCTATAAAAGAATCACACAGCTGTCACGACACACCGTAGATCCTTAATGGAGATAATGACTAGAAGATATAGCAACAATTTGATGAATTGCAAACTGTCTTGGAACACTTGGACTAAATTGCCTCTGTAGTGTAACTGATGTTCTACCAGTGTTACATTAATCACGGTTCAGCCTGCTTTTTTTTTTTTTTAACCTTGATCTGGTTGCATACCCCATAAGATGATGTTTGCCATAAAAAAAGGCCACCACTTTTTAAAACAACATATTGTGTTGTGAATCAGTGTGTTTAGAAATGTTTCCCTGGAGATTTTTTTTTTTTGGTTTGTTTTTGTGAATCCGTATTGAAAGGATTCTGGCCCCCAGAACTTTGGAATTGCGTAATAAATTGATGCAAGTGACTGCGCTATAACCACTAGGACAGACGATAGGAATAACCTGTGCTAGATCAGTTTCCTGGAAGAATACAAACTCCTTAACCCTGTTTGAATTGCAGCTCCCTTCCCTCTGTCTGCAGACTGTAACTCTGGATTTCACAGCCATGCGCGTTGAAACTGCTGAAGATTTTGAATGCTACACATTTTTTGTCGTGTCAGGAGCGACTTGAGAAACTGCAAGTCGCTTCTGGTGTGAGAGAGTTGGCCGTCTGCAAGGACGTTGCCCAGGGGATGCCCAGATGATTTGATGTTTTTATCATCCTTATGGGAGGCTTCTCTCATGTCCCCGCATGAGGAGCTGGAGCTGATAGAGGGAGCTCATCCATCTCTTCCCAGATTCGAACCTGCGACCTGTTGGTCTTCAGGGGTTTAGCCCACTGCGCCACCGGGGCCTCCCATGCTACACATTGATTCTATGTTTTCAATATAACCAGGGAAGGGAAGGGGGGAATTTTTGGGATTCTTTTGTTTTGTTTTTACGAGATGGAATTCCCAATTTTGAACCATCACTTTGCAATCTGCTTACTCTGCCTTGGAACGGTTTCTCACACATGCCTTTCTTTCCCTGAATGTGGCTGTTGAGATGTGTGCGTCTTGTGGCGTAGTACACCTTTTTGCTTTGTGGAGTCCACCTTGTTGAAAGTCTGGTGAATGTGGGTTCTTTCTCTTCTTCCTCTACCGTGTGGCCCCTTCTCAGGCGGGATCCCCACCACCCATGTACCAAAAATTGGTATTCCACTATTTCAGAGACTCGGAACACACTTGAAAATCACAATGTAGGATGTAGATAATGTAAGCTTTCTTAAAAATCCCTGAATGAAAAGCCGTCCCTTATGAATGGGATACGAGAGTCCCTTTTCTGTCCACTTGTGGTTTCAAAGTTTTTCTAAACGGGCAGAAGCCACTGTCTGCAGTGTTTAGGTGTCCACTGACTATACCATAAACTAAATGTGAATATGTGAACATATTTAAAAAGTGAGAATGAGTATGTTTGACGGGCTGTAAATGTTTTAATAGCCAAAGGGCTACCTTTTTCCTCAAAGAGCGTGCACTTGAAGTCTGTTGTGAAATAGAAGATATAACCTGTCTTTGTCCTGGTAAGAATTTCCATTCTTGGCTCCGTGTGGTTTGTTTAAAAAAAAAAAAGAATTGGCTATGATCTTTATTTATTTTTATTTATTTCGAACATTTTCCCCTGCCCTTCTCAACCTCTAGGGTACTCATGGTGGCTTTCAATTGGCAATAATTCAGTGCCACTTCATAAAATACAAAATAGCAAATATAACAATTAAAAACATGGACATTAATAAATAAAGATTAAACAGTATACTTACAATCCATTTAGCTATTGCCAGTCTGGTGGCTATTTATCTAGCCATATACTAATGATTACTCCGCTTAACTTATCCAAATCCACTTCCAAGCCATAGTCAAACATTATCAATTGTCCTTTAACCTAATTGCCCGAAGGCCTGGTCCCACAACCACGTTTTTACCTTCTTTCTAAAAGTGAGGAGGGATGGCAATGACCTAATTTCCCCGGGAAGCGAATTCCACAGGCGGGGGGCTACCACCGAGAAGGCCCTGACCCTCATCCCTGCCAAACGTGTTTGAGACAAAGGCGAGGCTGAGAGCAGGGCCTCCCCAGAAGATCTTAAGCTCCGAGGTGGGACATAGAAGGAGATATGTTCGGACAGGTACGCTGGACCGGAGCCATATAGGGTTTTATAGGTCAAGACCAGCACTTTGAATTGTGCTCGGAATTGGATCAGCAGCCAGTGGAGCTGACACAACAGGGACGTGGTATGATCCCTGTATGATGCTCTTGCAAAAAGAGGCAGAGTTTAAAGTTCTGTCCAAGCAAGAACTCCACTCTGTCTCCTGTCTCTCTTCCACAGAAATCACCTCCTTCCTGCCGGCACTCCCTCTTCAATATTGCCTTGCCTTGGGATGGCCAACAAGTTTCAAGCTGTGCCCCTGAAGTTGGGTGTGCTGTTTTCTCCAGAGGTGCTATTTTATTTATTGTGTCAGGAGCAACCAGACATTTGTATTACATTTTTAACAAAACAAACAACAGACAAAACACAAAGTTTGCAAGCTTGGAGTGCCTCTGGTGTTGCCGCAAGAAGGTTCTCCATTGTGCATGTAGCAGGGCTCAGGTTGCATTGCAGCAGGTGGTCAGTGGTTTGCTCTTCTCCACACTCGCATGTCGTGGATTCCACTTGAGATTAACTTCACAATTCAGCAGCAGATCAGTTGCACAACTTCAGTGCTTTCCAGTAACTTCTTCCTGCACAGTATTTTCAGCCAACAGCTCTCACAGCCTGCAGTCACTTTGGAACCTTTTACAGACACTTGAGCCCAGCCTGGCCATTGTCAATTTTACCATTGTCTTTCCCCCAGTCTAGATGATATTACAAACTTACCACAGCATACAGTTATATCTTGTCTTAGCAGACAGGTTCTTTTAATTACATATAGCCTTCAACGAACAACATCACAGCAGAAGGAGAGATATACACTGTACATGACTTCCTTATATACAATTCTGTACAATTACACATAGCAATCTCTGATTGGTTCCCAACTCATTAACTCAACTCAGACCCAGGATTGCATCATTCACAATCAGCTGGACTAGGCCAGAACACATTCCCCAAATGAAGTTCTATATACAATTAATGCATGACTCAGCATTTCCAATAGAAGCCCATTAGCAGTGCATGACTCAGCTATATTACATTACAATACATTGTAAAACCTGGCAAGCCCAATTTCTTAAGATTCGCTCTGCATCTCGTGTTGCCAGAGCACAGTCTGTTCAGCACCTTCCAAGTCGCCCAGTCTTCTGTGTGCCCAGGGGGGTGTTTCTCATCCTGTATCAGCCACTGATTGAGGTTCCGGATTTGAGCCTGCCACTTTTGGACTCGCTTGCTGGGGTGTTCCAGCGAGTATCTCTGTAGATCTTAGAAAACTATTTCTTGATCCAGATGTTCTGAAATATGACATTATCATTCTCCACCCGACTGTGCTTTTCAGCTGCTCCAATTTCCCCAAGTCACTATATAGGGGCAGGAGAAAATCTAGTCTCAAGAACAGGGGTCCTCAAACTAAGGTTGCGGAAACAGTGTCGACTTCTTCCGCGACGGCTTCAGAAAACTTGTTAATCCTTGGCAGAAATGTATCCAATTGTCTGGTATTTATTTATCGTGTCATCCACAACCAGAACATTGTATTACATTTCTAACAGAACAAAACAAACAAACAGATTAAAACAAAAAACAAAAAACACCAATTTTGCAAACTTGGTAGCTGATTAAATGTCCTTTGACCAGTATCTGGCCACTTGGAGTGCCTCTGGTGTTGCCGCAAGAAGGTCCTCCATTGTGCATGTGGCAGGGCTCAGGGTGCATTGCAGCAGGTGGTCAGTGGTTTGCTCTTCTCCACACTCGTCTGGTGATTATGTGGAAAAGTGAATATTGGTAGTTAAAGAACACGTTCTAAGGATTATTTCTGCCTTTGATTTATTAAAATATTCCCAACCAAACCCAAGTAACGAAGGTGGAGGCACTATTTTTCATTCAACCCTTGTATTAATAAGAATTATTCCYCCCCCCCCCCCCCAAGATGTTTTCCCCTTCCTGATATTGGCCACTCCAAATCGTTCCACCTTCTAACAGTCTATCATCCAATTTGTCTTTATGCCCGCAGTGAGAAAACTGGTCTTATACAGAAGGTTTGTTATGTAACTAAGGGAATAATAGGGGCCATGGCATTTGTTCCCATTTCAACAAACTTTGTTGGTTAGATCTTGGAGGCTTTTGCAGAGCTCTTGCATTTCCTGTTCTGTCCTTTCCAAGTGTGATTATTTCCTTACCATTTCTATGAAGGGCAGTAAACATCGACATAAGCAGTTTATCCACCAGCTTATCCTTGGACTTACTGCAAAACAGAGTTCTGTTGCAATAGCATTCGTGCTAACTGAAAAAGTAAATCACTATTAAGATTACCACCTGGAGATCCAGTATTTCTGATGGGTTGCTAAAAAAAAAATGGAAGTGGCTGCTGTCGAGAGTAGCGCCTCCTGTTCTAGACAATGTACTTTTAGAAATTAGAAAGACAGCGGCCTTTTCTTATCAGTGTCACATTTCTTCTGAAGAGCAACCATAGTTATAATACTATGTAATATGATTTGTGTTCCTGGGTTATAAATGTCATTTCCTAATTGATTCTATCATAAAACATGGGGAAAGTTTATTAAAACTTGGGGCATCCTGTGGCACATTTTGCTATACTTTTTTTAATGAACATCTCATTGAGTCTCAATCAATTCAACAGTTTGTGGCAGCCACAAAAACAAAGTTTCTGGAGTAGAACAATTACTTTCAAAGTAAGTATATATTCCAGCATATAAGACGACTGGGCGTATAAGACGACCCCCAACTTTTCTAGTTAAAATATAGAGTTTGGGATATTTTTGTTGTTGTTCATTCATTCAGTCATCTCCGACTCTTCATGACCTCATGGACCAGCCCACGCCAGAGCTCCCTGTCGGCCGTCACCACCCCCAGCTCCTTCAAGGTCAGTCCAGTCACTTCAAGGATGCCATCCATCCATCTTGCCCTTGGTCGGCCCCTCTTCCTTTTGCCTTCCACTTTCCCCAGCATAATTGTCTTCTCCAGGCTTTGCTGTCTCCTACTCGCTGTATAAGACTACCCCTCTTCCAACACACACCAAATAAAATTTTTAAAAAGCATCAGATTTGATTTCAACATGGTAATTTTCCTATTACTGCACCTCCTTCTCTGCCTCTCAGATCTCGCACATGCGCACCTGCACCACTTCACTGCAGTCTTCAGGAGCGAGATCTGAGAGGCAGAGGAGGAGGTATGGTAACAGGATACAAGGGCGGGCCAGACAGGTAAAAGAGGTGTGTTTTTCTAGGCCCAAAGCCTCTCTATCTCTTTTTTCCATACCCTGTGCGCCCCGGACGCCTGCAGCTTGCTCACCTTCCCTTACACCTTCCCGGTGAGGCGCCCCTTCACCTCACCATCGGGACCGCATTAAGTCCATGAATCCTGATGAATGGATTTTCTTCTACCGTACTTGAACTGCGTTTCCCTTAATGCTTTCATATAGTCGCTGCATACGGCAGGGACGCGGCCACTGCCATTTATGAGCTCCCCCCACAATAGGCAGCAACTATAGATTCTCCAATCTGGATTGGAAGTTTCAGCACCCGCTCTATAAGATGACTCCCGGTGTATAAGACTACTCCCGCATATAAGATGACCCCCATACATAAGGCAAACCCCGTGTATAAGACGACCCCCGCGTATAAGGCAACCCCCGTGTATAAGACGACCCCTGACTTTTGAGAAGATTTTCTTGGGTTAAAAAGTAGTCTTATACACCAGAGTATACGGTACTTCACAAAAAGGAAACAACAATTTCAAACAAGGAACATTTTTTTTTCAAAAGTTGTTACATAGTGTAATCATCTCCATCCATCTGCATTATAGGGACAGGATATTTTTCTGCCATTTAGAGCAACTCTGGTGTCCTTTTTATGTGATGGAAAATGTAACATGCAAAAGACATCCTGTGACTTAAATCTAAAATTGCTAAATATTTTTTCTAACAATCATAGATTTGCATTCCCATGATACAGCTTGGGAAAGGAACCTTTCAAAACTCACTTTGTGCTGTGAAAATTTCAACCTGATAGGCCTAAATTTGTTCACTGTACCATCTGCCAATGGTGACTAAGCTAAATAGATATTTCCTGTTCAGCTGCATTGTATGTACTCTCACTTGCTTTGGCTAGTCCAACATGTTGGAAACATCATATAATTTGGTTGCAGATAATTAGTTGAGTGAGAGAATCGTTCCTTCTGATGTTTTCTTTCTCTAGCTCAGGGGTCCTCAAATTAAGGCCCACGGGCCACTTCCGGCCCGCCAAGGGCACTTATCCAGCCCGTGGAGGAGAAGCACCCCCTCTCCCCACACACAGTGCCCCTCCCTTGGTTGGCTCACGTTTTCCATCAGGCCCGATGAGCAGCATGAGCCAGCCAAGGGCCGCTGCCCTGCGCGACCTACTCTTGCGTAAATGACCTTGCGAGGTGCTTTACGCGAGAGTAGGTTGCACGGTGCTGCTCCTCCCTTGGCAGGCTCACGCTATCTGTCAGGCCCGATGTGCAGCGGGAGCCAGCCAAGGGAGGCTGCCCCGGCGCTCCATGCCGTCATGCCGGCCACATGACCTTAGAGATGTCTACGGACAATGCTGGCTCTTCGACTTAGAAATGCAGATGAGCAGCACACCCCAGAGTCGGACACGACTGGACTTCATGTCAGAGGAAAACCTTTAACTAGGAAAATTGAGGAAGATCCAGGGTGGGAGAAAGAACTCTTGTCTGTTGGAGGTAGGTATGAATGTTTCAATTGGCCACCTTGATTACCATTTCATGGCCTGACAGTTTTTAAGGAGAATCCTTTCTTGAGAGGTGATTAGCTGTCCCTGATTGTTTCTTGTCTGGAGTTCCCCTGTGTTTGAGTGTTGTTCTTTATTTACAGTTATAATTTTAGAGTTTTTTTAATACTGATAGCCGGATTTTGTTCAGACTAGAAATAGGAAGATTTCTCAATTCTCTGCTCTTGGAATTACTGCCTAAAGAGGGCTAGAAAGAACTCCCTCTAAGGGCCCTTCCACACAGCAAAATAAGGTATGTGCAATGTGCATAGGAATTTTTTTAATTGATTTTTTTTAAAAAACTATAGTCCGACCCTCCAACGGTCTGAGGGACAGTGAACTGGCCCCCGATTTAAAAAGTTTGAGGACCCCTGCTCTAGCTCATGATTTCTGAAACCCAAGGCAGCCTGGAAAATACTGAATATGGGGGACAGTTGGCTCCCTTTATTGTCCTATTCCTCTTTAAAGCAAACGTACAACCTACATAATTGCATAAGCCAGTTATTTGCTTGGAGAAAAGGTTGCTGCTGTCTTCAAATTTGTGAGACTCCTAAAATAAATGTGGCTTCCACGTTCACCTCCTAAACTTATGCCTGTATAGGTTATGCGTGGGGTCCTCAAACTAAGGCCCGTGGGCCAGATACGGCCCTCCAAGATCATTAACCGGCCCTTGCTCAGGGTCAACTTAAGTCTGAAACTATTGAAAGCACACAACGACAACAACAACAATCCTATCTCATCAGCCAAAAGCAGGCCCACACTTCCCACTGAAATACTAATAAGTCTGTATTTGTTTAAATAGTTCATTTTAATTATTGTATTGTTTTAAAGTGTTTTTTTGCACTACAAATAAGATAGGAATTCATTCATGCTTTTTTCAAATTATAATCCGGCTCTCCAACAGTTTGAGGGACTGAGACCTGGCCCTCAGTTTAAAAAGTTTGAGGATCCCTGGGTTATGCAATATATCTAAAGGTGTTTTAACTGTATCACAGACAAAAGAATTTAATCTTTTTTTAAAAGAATCTCTTCAGATTTTGCTAACTTATGTTTTTAAAAGTCGAATGTGTTTATCCAATGTGAAGACATCCAAGACACCTAGATGTATGTTTGGAAACAAATGCATGCTAACAAAGGTGAAGTCTTCCGATTGGGCTGAATAAAATAAAATACCGCATATACTCGAGTATAAGCTGACCTGAATATAAGCCGAGGCACCTAATTTTACACAAAAAACTGGAAAAACGTTTTGACTTGAGTATAAGTTGAGGGTGAGAAATGTAGCTGCTATTGGTATTCATCGGGAGGTTAAATGTTTTTGAGTATTTACATAAAACTGTAATTTAAGATAAAACTGCCCAACTCTGATTCAACCAGTATTCTAACCTCCTTCAATGTAAATGTGCTTACCTATTACCTATAATGATAGAATAAAATAAAAAATGTGATAACATGTAATAAAAATAATAATAAAGTAAAAAATGGAAATTTAATTTAATAACAATAGTAACAATAATAAAGTAATAAATGTAATAAATATAATAAAACAGTAAAATGTAAATGTAATAATAGAGTAAAATAATAAATGTAATAAAAGTAATAATAGAGTAAAATAATGTAAATGTAATAATAATAATAATAGAGTAAAATAATAAATGTAGTAAAAGTAATAATAGAGTAAAATAATATAAATGTAATAATAATAATAATAATAATAATAATAATAATAATAGAGTTAAATAATAAATGTAATAAAAATAATCCTAATAGCAGAGTAAAAAAATAAATAACCTTGACTCAAGTATAAGCCGAGGGGAACTTTTTCAGCCTAAAAAAGGGGCTGAAAAACTAGGCGTATACTCGAGTATATACAGTATGTATGTTTTTAAAAGTTACTACAGAAAGATAAAATATGGGGGTTGTGGCCTTAGTCAAGGGAATATGGGTGAAGGATTGAGTTACAGAACATTTCAAAATAATAATTAGGCAGATATTTGACAGTAACTCAATAATAGGACAGTGTGATCTAGGTCGATGCGTCTTTTTAAAACGGCAATTTACATATTCCTTACCAAATGATTCTGGCTCTTAGGCATGGCAGCTAAATAGACCTTTTATGTGACAATGACAACTTAGTTTGCTGGTAGGTCAATAGTTCCAAGACTGCAGCCTTGGTTCAAATGGCCAACCAAATAGCACCCTATTTTCCAGATTGGATATCTTTACTGCACATAAGAGTTTCACCACCTAGTAGATTTCTTAATGAAAATGTTTATTTCATCAACAACAAGTTTTGAACAGCTCTTGACTATAAAATAAAATGATTTCCTTCACCAAAGTGGCATGCCAGCTGTCCAGGCAAAATACAGCAAGACGTCGCACCTTCCAGCACATCCTTGATGTTTAGTCCATGCGGGCTTTCAATGTCCGAGTAGTTATCTTGTCTTTTTCACTAAGAAAGAAGAGGGGAAGAAGTAAGAATGAAGTCCCACACTCAGGATTATTCCTCCATTCTACTTCTTGAAAACGTTTCATCAAATGCAGTCCACTCAATATAAAGTGGGTAAGACTAGCTGGATTGATTCCATTCTTGTTTCCCCCCCTATAGCAAGAGGTACCGTATATACTTGAGTATAAGCCGACCCGAATATAAGCCGAAGCACCTAATTTTACCACAATAAACTGGGAAAATGTATTGACTTGAGTATAAGCTGAGGGTGGGAAATGCAAAATAAAAATAGATACCAATAAAATTACATTAATTGAGGCTTTAGTAGCACTGGGATTGTGGTGCAGCTGGCTGAGTGTCAGCTGCATTAAGATCACTCTGACCAAAAGGTCACGAGTTCGAAGCCAGCCCGGGTTGGTTTCCAACCAATTGTGTGTAGCCTGTTGTCGACCTTTGCAACCCGAAAGACAGTTGCATCTGTCAAGTAGGAAAATTAGGTACCACTTTAAAAGTGTGGGGTGGCTAAATTAACTAATTTATGAGACCATAAAGAAGACTCCAGCAAAGCATTCCAGCGGGGAAGCATGCGGGGAATGCGGAAGTGCTTCATCAGCGTCGCAGATGGACGATGAAAGCAACAGCTCCCCTGGCGGCCAGAAAAAGTTAAATAGCCTCTGTGTATGTCTGTATATGTTTGTACGTCAAAAATTGGCATTGAATGTTTGCCATATTATGTGTACACTGTAATCCGCCCTGAGTCCCCTGCGGGGTGAGAAGGGCGGAATATAAAAGCTGTAAATAAATAATAATAATTAAATGCTTTTGGATATTTATATAAAACTGTAATTTAAGATAAGACTGTCCAACTCAGATTAAATAATGATTCTCACTTTCCATGTAAATGTGCTCACCCATCCTTCCCATAATAATGAAGAGAGTAAAATAATATATGTAATAATAATAATAGAGAAAAATAATAAATGTAATATAAACAATAATGAATAGAGAAAAATAATAAATGCAATAATAGAGTAAAATAATAAAGGTAATAAAATAATACTAATAACAGAGTAAAATAATAAACAATCTCGACTCGGGTATAAACTGAGGGGAGTTTTTTCAGCCTAAAAAGGGGGCTGAAAAACTAGGCTTATACTCGAGAATATACAGTAATTGTCATAGAATCTAGAATTCGAAAAGCCCACATGGACCATCCAGCCCAACCCCCTCCCGTGCAGGGAAAGCACAACCAAAGCAGCCCCAACAGATAAACATCAACAGATAAACATCAACAGATAAACAAGCCTCCAAAGAAGGAACTTTCTCATTTACTTCCTCTGGTTCCTAAACCCACACGAATCCAGGAAGAAGGACTGTCTTTACTCTTCCTGCATAAAGTCTGTCACTCACTCACCCTTACTTTTGACAGGGTAATTACTCTCTGTGCAACTAAGCCACAGAGTTTGACCCACAGAGATGTTAGTAAGCACCTGGCATATTCAAAGGACCTACTCGGACACTCAAATTGTACTTACATTACATGGACAACCACCCCCATCCCCGACACTGCATCCCTGTCCACCGCATTGAGCATGGCTTGGCCTATGGTTTCAAAGAGGTGATCTGGCTCCTGCAACGAAAGGGAGAAAAAGAGATTTTCTAGTTCACCCCCGTCCCAAAATTCAGTCATAAAGCATGTGTAATGTCTAGATGTATCTTGATCGTGTGTCACCTTTTTGGAAAGACTTCAGTCTGATAAGGAAGAATACCGTACCTTCCTTGCGTAATAGACCCCCATTTTTAGGGTCTGAAAATGTCTTTTACCTCTTCCTTGCAAAATTGTCACAATGGTATAAAAGTGAGAAGCTTCCTTCCCTTCCAGTTTAAATGAACACAGAGTTCTTCCCTACTTCCTTTCCTCTCAAAAACAGTTTGAACATAGACCCTCTCTTCTCCCTCTTCATCTTGGAGATAAGAATTTTTTATTTTTTTAAAAACGTACTCTGGCATTCAGAAGAAACTAATGTTTTTCACCGCGTAATAGTTGCACGCCCTTTTCCCAAACCAAAATAGGGGTATAAATGTATTTATTATTTATTTACAGTATTTATATACCACTTTTCTCATCCCTAGGGAGACTCAAAGCGGTTTAAAAAAGTGTTGACAACTACGCAATGAAATGTGGTAATTATAACACACTCCAGGCTCATTTAGACATTTATAGAGAACATGAACAGGACTCTTAGCAAAACAAGGGTACATTTGTATTGTATTTTTTAAAAAACCATAAAGTTTGAAAACTTTGCATTATATTGAATGTCCTTTGACCAGTAGCTGGCCGCTTGGAGTGACTCTGGTGGGAAGGTCCTACATTGTGCATGTGGCAGGGCTCAGATTGCATTGTAATAGGGCGTCCGTGGTTTACTGTTCTCCACACTGTTACTGATATACACAAGTCCACTTCATGTCTGTATCTTTTTATGTTATTGCGTACATTGATCTCTACTTCCTCCCACTGTAATAAGAATAAATCTCCACACTTGAGTCGCTGTTTCTCAGCTAGTTATTAAGCCCACTAATGGCCATTCTTTGGCTGGTAGGAAGCAGGAGGATCAGAAAAAGCATCGGGCATCCATAGATGAATGCAAATAGATGACATCTTCAGGTAGGACTTTGGAAGATCTCAGGAAACAATGTCATCAATTTGAGTCTGGCTAAAGCAGGAGTCCTCAAACTAAGGCCTGAGGGCCGAATACGGCCCTCCAAGGCCATTTACCTGGCCCTCGCTCAGGGTCAACCTTAGTCTGAAACGACTTGAAAGCACACAACAACAACAGCAACAACAATAACAATCCTATCTCATCAGCCAAAAGCAGGCCCACACTTCCCATTGAAATACTAATAAATTTATATTTGTTAAAATTGTTCTTCATTTTAATTATTGTATTGTTTTAAAGTGTTTTTTGGACTACAAATAAGATATGTGCAATGTGCATAGGAATTCGTTCATGTTTTTTTAAATTATAATTCAGCCCTCCAAAAGTTTGAGGGTCTGTGACCTGGCCCTCTGTTTAAAAAATTTGAGGACCCCTGGGCTAAAGGGACGTTGCCAGTTTCTTCTCTGATCTTCCAGCTTTCCAGTAATAGTAGTAGTAGTAGTAGTAGTAGTAACAACAACAATAATACATTTATTAGCTGCCTCTCCTTGTGGCTTGAGGTGGGATACAATGGTTAAAATGAAGAGATAAAACACAACACTATTAAAATACATAAAAAAGCAAGATGACGGGTGAGTGGTGCGTTCATACGGGCTGAGAGGAGAGACTTAGCATAATTCTACCTGTTGAACATTTATGCTATTGCTATAAACTACAGACCTCATAATCCTGCTGTCAATAACCATCTGGGACAGACCTTGGGCAGAATTTCCATGTCCATTGGTTCAGATGCCAATTCAAACATTTGCATAGAAACACTTGGCAAGAACTTATTTTAAAAGGATGATTTCACCCTCCTTGAAGGCAACTTATCAAAAGTAACTTCACAAAAAACTAACAGAGGTGCTAAAGGTACAAAAACAAATACCTAGGAGTTCACGCTGATGCACTTTTGCCCGATTCTACACCCCTCTTACCATGTCTGGCTCCCAGAGGGACTCGCACATGCCATACATCTGCTCTGAGCACGTCCCGCTGACCACAAAATCATCTGTTGTCATCGGACAGCCAATCAAGTCTAAGGAGCAAACGAAGGGTTCGTATGTGACTGGGTCCAAGCCAGCAATCACGGGTTCTGTGTAGTAGGGTCCAAATCTGGAAACAAAAAGGAGGAGACATAAAAGTATCGCTTTAGAAGACTGTCCACTGAAATGATGGTGTGTGTATAATTACAAAAAGCATATAATAAGAAGAATAAGAATAACAATACTTTATTTATACCCCGCCAAAATCTCCCCAAGGGACTTGGAGCGGCTTACATGAGGCCAAGCACAGCAGTACATCAATAAAGAAAACAATAAAACAAAAACAATAAAAAAAGCAAAAATACAATATAATTCATTTTTTTTTGTGTCAGGAGCGACCGTTCCTGTTGTGAGAGAATTGGCCGTCTGCAAGGACGTTGCCCAGGGGACGCCCGGATGATTTGATGTTTTTATCATCCTTGTGGGAGGCTTCTCTCATGTCCCCACATGAGGAGCTGGAGCTGATAGAGGGAGCTCATCCGCCTCTCCCTGGATTCGAACCTGCGACCTGTCAGTCTTCAGTCCTGTCGGCACAGGGCTTTAACCCACTGCGCCACTGGGGGCTCCTACAATTCATATAAATCACATATAAACAATAACCAATAAACAGTAACATAAAAAATTTAAAAACCTATGGCCGGGCCAAATGTAATATTTTACAAATTAAAAAATAAACGCTGGGCATTTATAAGTAATCTCCACGTACCAAATTAGAGCAGCTTTAAATGTGATTGAAAAACCACCACCAACAACAAATGAATGTAATTTTGAAATCTACTTAAGAGGCAATTGTTAAAAGGAAACAGATGAAGGCTATAAATACAGACTTTAAAATGCTATGTTACTGCTATCACTTCCACATACTATTCATTTAGCTTCAATTCACTTCTCTTGAAACCAATTTCAAACTTGTGAGAATACTTGAAAGATAAGCAGGACTTTGCCCTCTATTGCGTATTATTGTTAAATAATAATCTAACACACAATAGCTAGTCTGAAGCATTTTCTCTCCCACGTATGATGCATGTCAAAGTAAAGATAGGCAAGCAATGTAGGAAGGGGAGGAAACACTAAAGTAAAGGCATGTATTCCATGCTGGGAAGGGAAATTCTTACATTTCTCGCCAATTCTTTAATACACTAGAACAAGCATGGACAAACTTCAGCTCTCCAGGTGTCTTGGACTTCAACTCCCACAATTCCTAACAACTGGTAGACTGAATCAGAACTGTCACAATCTGGAGTTGTTTCTTTGAAAAATTTTGATAATATTTCATCACTGCAGATGAAATATTTATAATGAAAAATAATGGCTGGAATTGTGTTCATTAATCTTAAACACAGTAGATCCACTTAATCAACTGTTGAATGGTGATTCTAAAGGTAAAGGTAAAGGTAGTCCCCTGCCATTAAGTCCAGTCATGTCTGACTCTGGGGTGTGGTGCTCATCTCCATTTCTAAGCCGAAGAGCCAGCGTTGTCCGTAGATACCTCCAAGGTCATGTGGCCGGCATGACTGCATGGAGCGCCCTTACCTTCCCGCCGGAGCGGTACCTATTGATCTACTCACATTTGCATGTTTTCGAACTGCTAGGTTGGCAGAAGCTAGGGCTGACAGCGGAAGCTCACGCCGCTCCCCGGAATCGAACCTGCGACCTTTCGATCAACAAGCTCAGCAGCTCAGTGCTTTAACCCACTGCGCCACCGGGGGCTCCACTTGATTCTACTTGTAGGTAAATCCAACTGATTCTTATAAGGAGTAACAATAGGATTTAGGCTACCAGCAGTTACTATAAAACCAACTGGGGGTGGGCAGAAGGGAGACTAGAGGCAAGTCTCTAGAGGCAAGAAAAATACATCCCATTAATATAGCCTTGGGATGATTATATAGTCAGGCTGAGTTCATGCTAAAAAAAAATCATCCGCTTTCAAAATATTTGGGAGTAAGACAATTTCTGCTATTTTCGACACAGACTGCTACAGTTATCTAGAGCTATGGCTCTAGATATCTAGAGCTTTGGACATTGGTTGTTGCACAGCCATGCTTTTAGTTAAAACATAACCCCTCCAAATAAAGGGTCACATAATTCCCAGGTGAGCACCTTAAACAGAGACTGCAGAAGACAGGCCTTTAGCTCACTCTAGGATATATCTTCAGTCCTGTCTCATCACATTGAAGCTGCAAATCAGGAAATACTTCAAGGGGTGGGGGACACAAACAGTTCTATATTGCATTAACAGTCCTTTACACAAGGATCTTGGGTATTTGATTCTTTACCGTCTTTCATAGAGGAGGTTTGACACCATACTCATCAAAGTCTGTGGTTTTATTTGTCGGCCTTCTTTCAGTTCATAGAGATTCAGTCGAAATTTGAGCCTTTGGGCACTATAAGAAAAGCCAAGAATCAGTATTATATCCAAAAATAATGCAGGGTTTCACACAAAATTTGCTTTGTCATGAATGGACTACATGCTAACCTTCGTAGACCCTTTGTTGGGAGCATAGATGGAGCCACAGCTGTTTACTGCTGAATAGGAGACCAGTGCAGCAACCAGGTTTTTGCTTCATGGATTTTACTCATCTGACTCAATTTAGTGCACTTCTGGATGCCGCGTGTGTGGGGACCTCATCCCCTATGGGGACGACCAGATGACTTCACTTTTTTCCCCATCTCAAATTTCCCAGAAAATTTTGCAAGTTTACAAATACAGGGTGAGGCAGCATAACTTCCTTTTTAAAAAAGCACTCCATTCCGTCGGTTGAAGACGTAGCGGAGCGCTAGTGGTCTTGTTCGAGAGGCGGGAGTATAAAGTTTTGGAACAGTGAGCAGCGTGTTTTTGCCGTTGAGGCCTACTTTTCGAGCGGATTTGGAGTGGCCAACCCGCTCACCAGAATTGGCCCCTTGCGATTTTTTTCTATGGGGTTTTTTGAAATCCTGTGTTTCTGTGAACCGTCCAAGGACCCTACAAGATTTGAAGACCTACATCCAGGAAGAAATTGCGAACATAACGCCTGCTATGCTGGCAAGTCATGACAAACGCCAGAAATCGGTTTACTCAGCATATGGAGAATGGGGGACGTCACCTACCTAATTTGATCTTCAAAACTACGTAAAACAAAACTTTAGGTATGCGCCTACATTATAATTTTTTTTAAAAAAAAAATCTGATTCATACAATGGGTTTTATTAAGTTTTGAAAAAAGGAAGTTATGCTGCCTCACCCTGTAGTATTCTCCTAGCTCTGCACAACAGGAGGCCTGGTCCAATGAAAAAACTTACACTGTCTGTACATCTGTAGCAAGCCCAGCCAAGCCAATGTACAGTCTGTCTCCCATTGGGAAGATTTTCTGGAAATCTGTAGTCACCATCTGAGCTTGAATGCCAAACCTCCGATCTGCAGCAATGGCCACACAGTTTTTTCCTTTCATGGCCATTACAGCCCCACCATTATATGACATAATAGACTGTAAAAGGAGAGAGGAGAAAGACTGGTTAAGTGACATCATGAAACTACTATTTGCAAGGTATGTACCATATTTCGTTGATTCTATGATGCATACTAATTTCAGTACCACCAACAGGATACAAAAGCTTTATTTATATTTACTTAAAAAACACCAGTTATTCTAAGATGCACCCTATTTTTAGAAATGTTTATATGGAGAAAAAAGGGGTGTCCTAGGCTGGATCTACACTGCCATATAATCCAGATTATTTAAGGAGATAATCCAAACTATATGCTTTGAACAGGATTATACGAGTCAACACTGCCATGTAATCCAATTCAAAGCAGACAATCTGGATTTTAAATGGCAGTATGGACTCAGATAACCCAATTCCAAGCAGATATTGTGCCTTGATATTCAAAGTGCCCTTCCAGACAGACACCATATCCCAGGATCTGATCCCAGGTTTTATGTTTATCCCAGATTATCTGGCAGTGCGGACTCATATAATCCAGTTTAAAGCAGAAAACCTGGAATCCTGGGATAAAGGGCCTGTCTGGAAGAGTCCTTAGTCAATGAATGTGCCTCCCTTTTTTCCCTTACAATCTATGGGCCTGTTGACCCACATGCAATCTATGGGCCTGTTGACCCACATGTAGGTGAGACATTTTTGAAGAGGAAGAGCGGCATTGCCTTCTCTTTATATCTACAGGAGTGACAATCCGGGATCAAAGACAATAGATTTTCATATAAAATACTTCCAATGATTTCCATATTGGATCAGTGACATACAAGAAAAACCACAATACCTTTTTGGGGCCAAATCAACTACATAAATTTATTTATTTATTTGTTTACAACATTTCTACCCCGCCCTTCTCAGCCCCCAAGAGGGGACTCAGAGCGGCTAACACTGGCACAATTTGATGCCGCAATATCACAAATAACAACAATATAAAACCATAAAAACACAATAGATTAAAACAATAACATTAATTATACAATCATAGCTGTTTCCATTATCATAACAATCATCATATGGTCCAATTCAATGTCCAAGTTCTGTTGTGCCTGCGAGCCAAAATCCTGGTTCTACTACCATGATTTCAGTTTTTTTCCTGAAGGAAAGGAGGGAGGTCACCGATCTAATATTGCTGGGGAGTGAATTCCACAAGCGGGGGGCCACCACCGAGAAGGCCCTGTCCCTCGTCCCCACCAGACGCGTTTGCGAGGCCAGTGGGACCGAGAGCAAGGCCTCCACCAGTGGATCTTAAACTACAAGGCGGAACATAGAGGGAGATACGTTCGGACAAGTAAGCTGGGCCAGAGTCGTATAGGGCTTTATAAGCCAAGACCAGCACTTTGAATAGCGCTCGGAAAAGGACCGTCAGCCAGTGGAGTTGACATAACAGGGGGGTGGTGTGCTCCCTGTATGGTGAGCAATCTAGCTGCTGCCCACTGGACTAGTTGCAGTTTCCAAACAGTCTTCAAAGGCAGCCCCGTGTAGAGTGCGTTGCAGTAATCTATTCGGGATGTAACCAGAGCGTGGACCACCATGGCCAGATCAGACTTCCCAAGGTACAGGCACAGCTGGTGCATGAGTTTTAACTGTGCAAAAGCTCCCCTGCCCACCATCGAAACCTGGGGTTCCAGGCTCAGTGATGAGTCCAGGATCACTCCCAAGCTGCGATCTTGCGTCTTCAGGGGGAGTGTTACCCCATTCAGCATAAGCTGTAAAACTATGCTCTGTTCGACCTTGCAACTGACTAGTAGGACCTCTGTCTTGTCTGGATTCAGTTTCAATTTGTTAGCCCTCATCCAGTCCAACACAACAGCCAAGCACCGGTTCAGGGTCTGAACAGTCTCCTTAGGTGGGAAGGAGTGACAGATTTGGACATCATCTGCGTACAGATAACATATTGCTACGAAATTCTGGATGAACTCCCCTGATGGCTTCATGTAGATGTTAAACAACATCAGGGACAGTGCTGAGCCCTGAAGGACTCCACAAAACAAAGGAGTCCTTCAGGGGTCGAACAGGTGTCACCCAATAACACCTTCTGGGACCGTTCCTCCAGGAAAGATTGCAAAGCAGTACCTCCAAGTCCAATCTCTTATATTATGTAAGTTTTTTCCAAGCTACACTACCTTCACCAGGTTAAGAGGATAAAATCCTTCATGTTCCAGGAGCTTGTGTAGTTCGAACAAAAAATATCCATCCTGCGGAAGACTAGGATGTATCTGTCAGGATTAATTTAGTTATGTATGTGCTTTTGTGTATTGCCAAGATGGATGTTACTGTGAATTAGAAATGCTGTGCAGAATGTTTACACCATGAGGCTGTGATTATGTGAACTTGAGAAAAGTAAGATAAGGTTTGCTCTTGCTGGGAACAGAAGGGAGTAACCAGTCTCAGCAAGAAGAGATAAGCAGATGTGAAGAGGCTTTCGTTTTGACCAGTTCCTGAATTGTAGCTCGCTGTAGTAAGACGTGTCTGTTGAATGTTCTTAGTAAACTTGGTTTCTTTTGTAACTCAAAGCTTGCTGAGTCCTAATTCTGCAACTCAGTATCTGCTGACCTAGCATTCCTTCCGCTGGGCATCGTCTGAACTCTGACAGTATCTACACTGCAAAAATAACATGGTTTATTATCGAAGGCTTTCATGGCTAGAATCACTGGGTTGTTGTACGTTTTTTTTGGGCTATATGGCCATGTTCTAGAGGCATTCTCTCCTGACATTTCGCCTGCATCTATGGCAAGCATCCTCAGAGGTTGTGAGATCTGTTGGAACTAGGAAATTGGGTTTATATATCTGTGGAAAGACCAGGGTGGGACAAAGAACTCTTGTCTGTTGGAGTTAGGGGTGAATGTTTCGACTGACCACCTTGATTAGCATTTGATGTCCTGGCAGTGCCTGGGGCAATCTTTTGTTGAGAGATGATTAGATGTCTTTGTTTGTTTCCTCTCTGTTGTTTTGCTGTTGTAATTTTAGAGTTTTTTAATACTGGTAGCCAGGATGCTTGCCATAGATATAGGCGAAACGTCAGGAGAGAATGCCTCTAAAACATGGCCATATAGCCCGAAAAAACCTACAACAACCCAATAACTCAGTTTGATATCACTTTGGACTGCCATGGCTCAATGCTATGGAATCGTGGGAGCTGTAGTTTGCTAAGACCTAGAACAGCTAAAGATCTTCTAAGGCCCTTTCTACACTGCCATATAATCCAGATTATCAAAACAGATAATCCAGATTGAACTGGATTATGTGAGTCTACAATGCCATATAATCCGGTTCAAAGCAGAAAATCTGAATTTTGCCTGGCAGTGTAGAAGGGGCCTAGAGCGACAACTCCCAGGGCTCCCTTTGAGCCAGGGCAGTTAAAGTGATGTCAAACTGCATCAATTCACAGTGGAGATGCATCCTGAGTGACAAAGAATAGGCCCATTTAGGGAATGCGCTCTCCACTTCCACTGAAGGAGCTGCATGGGTTGGGAGCCAGTGGGCCCAGGATGGGAGAAGCGCACAAGCGGGACATGAGGGGGGCTCCCAACTCGCCACTGAAGCCCCTTCAGGACTCACCATGATGACGTCTTGAAGAAGCCCCTTCCTCGCGCAGCTTCACCGCCTTCTCCTCGGCCTCTCTTCCGCGCCCTAGGCTAAGCCCCGCCTTCGCCCTCGTTGCCGGCAGCCAGCGGCGCGAGTCGCCATTGGCCAACGTCTCGCGCCAATCAAAATTTCCGCCTATCCGAGGAGCTGTCGGCAGAGGAAGTGAAGAGTCATGCTTTCATAGCCATAGAGACAAACTTTTAGAAGCATACCTCACTCTATAGACACTACACTTCCGGGTATGCTTTCAACCATCATTTCCTGAGCCTCATAGGTTTCAACTGCACTATAGTCGCCTCTCTAAGCACCATGGGATATAGTAGAAGACCTTTCCGGGTCTGACAACCCACAGAGATAAGAATAGTTAGAGATACGCAATGCTGCTTGTGTGAGTAGTTTCCGGGATCACTTTTCAGAAAAATAGAGGGAATTTAAACAAAAGGGTTCTGTATTCCTTCACCTTTCGGGCCTTTCCACACATCTATATAACCCAGAATAACAAGGCGGATAATCCACAATATCTGCCTTGAACTGGGTTATCTGAGTCCACACTACCATATAATCCAGTTTAATGTGGATGTTATACAGCTGTGTGGAAGGGGCCTTCTACACTGCCGTATAAAATCCAGATTATTTGCCTTGAACTGGATTATCTGGCTTCGGTTCCCAGAATCCTTAATCATTTGCCAAGACAACTGAATCTTCTGGGAGTTGAAGTCCAAAACACCAGGAGGACTGGTATTTGAAAATCACTGCTTTTTCCTTGAGATGCATGAAGTTCTGCTCCTTCAGCAAGAGTACAACTGTCTCAATGAATTTGTCAGCAGTCTTCTAACTAACAGAGCTTCTGGGAAGAAGTTGGATCCAGACAGTGGCAGTTAGGCTGGATCTCCACTGCCCTACATTCCAGAACCTGATCCCAAATAATCTGAGATAAACAGATAATCTGGGATCAGATCCTGGGGTATAGGGCAGGGTAGATCCAACCTCTGAGGGGTCCATTGCACCTTTGTGCCAACTCTAATAGAGCTATCCAAAGTGCTGAAAATAATTAAGAATAAGGTTCTGCACCTTGGAAAGCTCCTTTAAGGCCTGGAGTAAGTTTGTAGCTCAAAACAAAGCACCAGTTACTACTGGGATCCACAATTCCACAAACAAACAGAGTGTGATTCAGTTGGAGATCGGCCTGAGACTCCTGAGGGTAAAGAATTACCTGTACGATTACCTGTGGGATTTCCTGATGAAGATTCAAGTCAGGGAAATGATGCTTTTCTCTGTTCTGTGAGAAATCTGACTCAAAAAGTGCAGACCTACAAGGTCAGCCAGAAACTGCAACATTAGATAAGGAGTTGGCCAAAGAGATAAATGATACAGAAGACTCTCAAGAGAAAACGCTTGGAATTGTGGAGATCAACAAATAATAATAATAATAATAATAATAATAATAATAATACTTTATTTATACCACACCACCATTATTATTATTATTATTATTATTATTATTATTATTATCTTTATTTATACCCTGCCACCATCTCCCCATGGGACTTGGAGTGGCTTACATGAGGCCAAGCCCACAGTACATCAGTAAACAAAAGCAATAAGCAAAACAATAAATACAATACAATTAATATAAATCACATATAAACAATAACCAATAAACAGTAACACACAAGGATTTAAAAACCTATGGCCGGGCCAAATGTAACAGTTTAAAAATTAAATAATAAATGCTGGGCATGAACAAGGTAGGATATAACTGGTATAGGGTTTTCAAAGAGAGATGAGGGAACACAGTCAATCCTAAACCAATAGTAAAGTGCATTTGAGGGCATATTGCTTGGAATTTTCCTTATTCTGGGACGGCACACTAGAACAATCACGTTTTCAGGCTCCTCCTAAAGACTGTCAGAGTTGGGGCATGCCTGATGTCCTTGGGAACTGAGTTCCAGAGTCGGGGGGCCACCACCAAGAAGGCCCTCTCCCTTGTCCCCACCAATCGCGCCTGCGAAGGAGGTGGGAGCACGAGCAGGGCCTTTCCAGATGATCGAAGAGATCGTGTGGGTTCATACACAGAAATGCAGTCACATAGGTAGGTGGGTCCCAAACCGTTCAGGGCTTTGTAGGTAAGAACCTGCACCTTGAGTTGGGACCGGAAAATGAACGGCAGCCAATGGAGCTCCTTAAACAGGAGGGTTGACCGCTCTCTGTAAGTCGCACCAGTTAGTAACCTGCCTGCCGCCTGTTGTACCAATTGAAATTTCCGGGCCGTTTTTAAGGGCAGCCCCACGTAGAGTGCATTACAGTAATCCAATCTGGAGGTGACTAAAGCATGGACCAGCCTTAGGTGGTCTTTGTTTACAAATCAGAACAGAAAATAGGCATTGTAGACTTTAGCGCTTACATGGGAAAGTTGAGGACAGATTTCATGGGGAAAAACATGACTTCATGGGTGCCTATTAATTAGCAAGTTGTTTACTAAAGAGTTAGTTCAGGCAATGTAGCGTTCAAGTCAAAAGCTAGGCCTGAGTTCTCTGGTTCTTTTTTTCAAGTCAAGCCTTTGGTTTTGGATTTTAGTTTTGTGGAAGTATTTTATGTTCTTGTTTTATATTCCTGCTCAAGTTTTACCAAGTACACCTTTTGCTTGTGGACTTATGCTGTACTCGTGACTTTTTGATTATTCCGGAACTGTGTTACCTTGGGATCTGCACGAGACATCTTGATTACTGTTGGTATTTTAATCTAGTATTGCTAAACCTTTTTGGATTATACATCTACTTTCTTTATTCCTGTTTTCCCCCCTATACTTTTAATGTGTTTCTACAATAAACTGTTTGCTTATATTCCGGCCTCTTGTGTGGTGCTGTGGTAATAGGTGTTCCCAGGTCTGGAGTTCAACAGATTCCTCTACATGTTACAACCAGCTGGTGCCCATTCATAGCTGAACTGATGCCAAAAGATCTCAATGGATTCCCTCAAAACAAACACGAAATGTGAAGCTGAGCATTATGAGTATGTATAGTACGCTAAACATCCTAATGACTGTTTTCATGCAGCTGGGAGGTTTTTCAAAGCCCTATTCACTTGTATGAATGAAGGCCTTCTCCCTTCAGATATTGATGATGAATGCCAGGATATCTAAGACATATCAGATGTAGTGTTGGAGATCCTCATTTGTATACTTAAAAATGCTTGAGTAGGTCTACAGCAAAAGTGGACAAGAAAAGATCCATGAGTCAGCTCAGCCCAAATCTTTGCCCCTGGGCTCACAAGTTTAATTTAAACATAACACTATGTAACATGAGTTTTGTTCCTGGGTTATAAATGTCATTTCCTAATTGGTTCTATCATAACCTAATTGGTTGTATCATAAAAAGATGGAGAAATGTTTATTAAACTTAGTTTTTGTGGGACACCCTACATCATACTTTATTCTATGAAGGAGAGATATTGCTCTATGAAGGAGACACATCGCCACAATTAAGCCACATCCTGCAGAATCAGGGTTGCTAATTGATTATACCTGCAATGTAATGTTCTTCTAATACCACCTCCCATTTTACAATACATCATTGACTTTGTTAATTAACCATGTTATATCATTGGGTTGTTGTAGGTTTTTTCGGGCTATATGGCCATGGTCTAGAGGCATTCTCTCCTGACGTTTCGCCTGCATCTATGGCAAGCATCCTCAGAGGTAGTGAGGTCTGCTGGAACTAGGAAAAAGGGGTTTATATATCTGTAGAATGACCAGGGAGGGACAAAGGACTCTTGTCTGCTGGAGCTAGGTGTGAATGTTTCAACTGACCACCTTGATTAGCATATAATGGCCTGACATTGCCTAGAACAAACTTTTGTTGAGAGGTAATTAGATGTCCTTGTTTGTTTCCTCTCTGTTGTTGTACTGTTGTGATTATAGAGGTTTTTTTAATACTGGTAGCCAGATTTTGTTCATTTTCATGGTTTCCTCCTTTCTGTTGAAATTGTCCACATGCTTGTGTATTTCAATGGCTTCTCTGTGTAGTCTGACATGGTGGTTGTGAGAGTGGTCCAGCACTTCTGTGCTCTCAAATAAAATGCCGTGTCCAGGTTGGTTCATCAGATGCTCTGCTATGGCTGATTTCTCTGGTTGAAGTAGTCTGCAGTGCCTTTCATGTTCCTCTCACAACATGTGAGAGGAAGTCATAGGGAGGAGGGAGCAAGATTCCTTTCTGCTGCCCTGAAGACTAGGATGCGGAACAATGGCTTCAAGCTACAAGAAAGGAGATTCCATCTGAACATTAGGAAGAACTTCCTGACTTTGAGAGCTGTTCAGCGGTGGAACTCTCTGCCCCAGAGTGTGGTAGAGGCTCCTTCTTTGGAAACTTTTCAACAGAGGCTGGATGGCCATCTGTCAGGGGTGCTTTGAGTGCGATTTTCCTGCTTCTTGGCAGGGGGTTGGACTGGATGGCTCATGAGGTCTCTTCCAATTCTATGATTCTAACAGGTTTTTTTCAAATGTTGTTACATAGTGAATTGTCCTTTGTTCTTCCTTGTTGAGTGCCTCCTAACTTAAGAGTCTCATCTTATGGCACTATCTCTTGTTCCATCTTGGATTGTCTCATCATATGGTTATCTGACAAAGGAAAGAAGAGAAAAGAAAAGAACCCCTTTCTCCCAAAAAGCTTCTAAAAGAGATTTTAGTGCTCATTACACTTTCATCATTTTGACTACTTTTGTTAGAGGTAGCCTATTTTTGGCACTAAAAAGTGAGCCTATTTCACATGTAGAATCAAAATGCTCCATCTCGATTGGATTATGAGACTTAATAGTATACTTCTGCATAGGACTATATTGCATGAAAACAAAATCTATATAAATAAAAATGTAATGTTTGTTTGTGAGATTAACTCAAAATCCATTGGACGAATTGCCGCCAAATTTGGCCACAAGACACCTAATATCCCAAGGAGTGGCCATCACTCAAAAAATGATTTTGTCATTTAGGAGTTGTAGTTGCTGGGATTTATAGTTCACCTACAATCAAAGAGCATCCTGAACTCCACCAACGATGGAATTGAACCAAACTTGGCACACGGGA